TGATTTTTAGCTATTAACAATGGTGATTTTCCATAGCTACGTGAAATAACCAGAATGTCTTAGAATGGGGGATGCCCAAGTCACCATGGGTTTCAATGCTAAGTCATGGTCTAATTACTGACTTGGATGATTTGGGGCGCGACCGTTTTAGGAAACGTCCAAATGTAGGTGAAATTTGATATGCCATAGTCAAAAGTTGGATATGGGATGGTCATCAATCCCTTAATAGGGATTTAGACAAATCCATTACGTTTGGATTCCCAGTCTGAGATGGATGACAAAAACTGTAAATATATGTAAATATTGTTTTAAGGGAGAGAAACATCCATAAATCGCAGCTGTTTCGATGTGAACTAAGGCGGTGCAGGGGTTTGACCCATCCCCATATAAGCAACAAGCATCAGCAATGCTATACTTTAGGTAGGGTCTATCGGTCATTTATCAATACACAAAGACCACAAAAACTCAGAATTGTCCATAGAAGTGTTTCAGTCGAATTGTCCCTGACAAAACTATAGCAATCCAAAAGCAAATGGACAAGTACAAACATTTAAGATCCGACTGAACTAAGATAGTAAAGTATTTGGGGGTGCAGTTGGGGGTGAAAAAACATTGATGATTATAACCATGGCACAGCCTATATATTGATTTTATGTTATAGACCTAATTAGAGGTCACAACCATAGTTATGGGTTATAATTCCATACTTAACCATACTATCATATAGTTATAGGTTATATTTCCATAAATTGGAGGTGGTGAAAAACATTGGAATAACATGGTGTAACCAAGGAACCGCCTATGGCAGTCAGGTCAAGGGCTCCAGAACTGCGGCTCCCTTCTTGGTGACACTGGCCATCAAAAACCGATGCTGCAACGAGGTGGCGTTTTTCTACGGGGATCCAGGGCTTTTAACCCAGAAAAACTGGGGGTTTAACATGGTTTCACGCAACAGAAGTGGGATTTTTACACCAACAACAAGGGAATTCAATGGGACTACGGGTGCATTGCGAATCGTTTGCAAACACAATCGGGCGGCCTAACATGGGCCGACCTCACCGTTGGGATTGGGGGAATCAAACGTGGCTGGAACATCAGCAATAGCAATAGATTGATTTTCCCGGCGAAAACCTTCATTAATATCCATTCATAAGGGATAAAATCCGATGATTTTCCCATTATTTGTCAGAGTTTCACAACCCATAAAGTAACCATGGATAACAGCAGTGATTGCAGATGATTACGCAGTACACTAGCTCGTACCCTCTTGTAACTAAAACTGGCTTGATGGAAAATTAAAATCCGCTGGATGACTTCCAAGCTATCAACTTCCATTTGGTGCATTGAACTTCCTAAGAAAATCACCAGAAAATCCCCAAATCTCCATCAAATCACTATCTGGTTGGTGGTTTGGAACATGACTCAACATGACTTTTATTTTCCCTTCTATTGGGAATGTCATCATACCAACTGACGAACTCATATTTTTCAGAGGGGTAGGTCTACCACCAACCAGCTATAAAATCATCATCGAATCAGCATCGGCCATCCCAGCAGGTTGAACTTCTCGTCAAAGAAGCACTGGAACGAGAGATTTGGACACTGCGCTGCGCTGAAAGCCGCAGCCTTCCGGAAAGCCACTGGGCGGTAAAAATGACAGCAAGGAAGAGACCAATTCTGTGATTTTTCGATTATATATATATTATTATTATACATAATATAGTGTGTATATATATATATGTATAGTCGATGGCATATAATTAATTACTATCAATGAATGGTGAAATATTGGTAGAATCTTACCATCAATATGTTTGGTACTTGATGGTACTTGTACCTATTCGAACATGTACAATTTTGTGGTGTTCGACTGGTTGGGTGCTTGTGAAAGGGTGAGCCGACAAATGTGATGACATGATCATCCCAGTATGTATGCTGGATAAAGGTGTAGTTCAGGGGGCAGTCGGCTAGATTTTGCTGTGAAGTTATTTGATTGGGTTGATGGCAATCGTTGTCAATAAACCATAGCATAGCTCCTTCTCACGACTTCACCATCAACTCATTGATATCCAGAGTCTTGCGGAAAACATCAGAGATTTCCCCATATTTGGTTTGGGGGGTGTTTTTGACTGTTTTTGGTCAACATATATCAACATGAATCACCCAGATCCGCCCTCCGCCCATCCCTTGAGGCTTTCAACAAGAGGCGGAGGCCTTCTATGGACCGCCTGGCCGGCCGTCCTACTGCGTGGTGCACTTGCGCTTTCAAAGGTGAACTGCTTGGGTGAACTGCTTGGGGGATGGCCATCACTCCATGAATATATCGTATATGTTTATATAATGTGTATATATATAATGTGTATGTAGTATATAGTACATCTTTATGTTTAGAAAAAGCCGTTACGTTTGGATTCCCATGATGGGATGGATGACCATATCACATGTCCCGTCTTTTGACCATGGCAGCTGGAGGTTAATCCAAGGTTGCAACCAGGAGAGACATGGTGTTGAATTGATTTCAGTTAATCCTCTCCCCCTAATACTAAACTCCGGCCCCCCCAAATAATAAACACCTCAGGTAGTTTTCATTATTAGGAGGTATTTATTATTAGGGTTCCCCCAAATACTAAATTTAAACCCCTAATATTCAAAACTATTTTGTTCTATTTCAAAATCGATTAGATTTCCTTTTAAAATCTCATTAAAAAATGGATTTCGAAGCTTCCCCTAATAGTAAATTAAAAACCCTAATATAAAAAGCTATTTTGTTCTATTTCTAAATCGAGTAGATTTCCTTTTAAAATCTACTTAAAATATTGCCAAAAATTGGATTTCGAAGCTTCCCCCTAATAGTAAATTTAGAACCTTATATAATATAAAAGCTATTTTGTTCTATTTCAAAATCGATTAGATTTCCTTTTAAAATCTAATTATATAAAATATTCCCAAAAATTGGATTTCGAAGCTTCCCCCTAGTAGTAAATTTAAGACCCTAATATAAAAAACCGTTTTGTTCTATTTCAAAATCGATTAGATTTCCTTTTAAAATCTAATAAACATATTGACAAAAATTGGATTTCGAAGCTTCCTCCTAATATTACATATTAAAAAAACCCTATAAAATACATCTTTTTTGCGACCTTAAAAGACGGACCCTAATGAAAAACACACCGGGGTTGACTGGTTCTTATTATTAGGGGTGAAACCCTGAAACGGTAGCTTCATTTTTAAATGGTTTTCTAAAGGGGATCAATTAAACATTGGCCAACCTCAAATTTTCCAAAATTGGAGACGGACCCTAGTTTTTATTATTTGGGGGGGTTTTGTAATAGGGGGAAGGGATTGTACAATCACATTCCATATGACAAAAACATTTTGAAATGCCAGATTTTTTCTTGCAAAAATGAATGCCAAAAATCATCCCAAACATGGATAGCCTTCGACCTCCGCTGATGTTTCACAGGTTGGAGCCTCCAAGCAAGAAGAGGCGGACATGACGGTGGCGGCACATCCTCATGGTCAGGTGACAAAAAAAATCCGAGGCTCCCTGGATTGCTGCAGAGGAATCAGCAATTTCCAGCACCCTGTGACAGTTTCAAAGAAAGGGCCGATTGCACCTGATGTTCCTGATGTTGGCAGCCAGTTCCAAGTCACGTCCAAGTATCCACCCCTACAAAATGTGCATTGGGGGGTGTGCACCCCCTCAAAATATACATGTCTCAGTCTCGGAAACACGTTCCCTGGGGAATTCATTTTATACCAAATGACTGTTTGGGTCAAGGGGGTGGTACGCCTTCATAGTGTCCCCCATGTCCTGCCTATTGCTTATACATTGTAGGGGCAAAACACCCTATGCTTATACATTTTCGGAGGGGTGCTGTAAATATTCCCCCAGGGTGTGTCGGTGTAATGACCCCCCTGTCTTATATGTTTATAGCTGCTAGATGCTGCTAGCATCATCTCTTCGAAATCAACTACTGTGCCAGAAGATTAGAATCAATGATGGGTGATAGATGGTGATAGTTTGATTGCGGCTATCACGAATGTCCCTTTTGAGAATATGCTACAGTAGAAGAAAAGTATGAAGCTAGGGGGCACGCCCTGACCATATGACCTGATACCTACTAGTCGTTCCATAAAAATGAATTTATGGTAACCAGAATGTACTATCTTATCATAGTGTAATAGTGTATCTTTCGATATTCAGAAGCAAATTCGAAGACAGCATGTTGCTCTTCTGACGTGCCAACCCTGGTACGTCATGCATTTTCCCCTAGTTTGCATACATTCAAGCCCTTAAAAGAGTAATAGACACTGTCCCACCCCAGGTTTGATACATTATCAGAAATGTATGGGGAGCGGGGGGTTGGCATAAAGTAGTTAGGGAGGGTGATGTCTAAGTGTCATTTAAAGATCATTCAAAGGTCATTTAAAGGTCATTCAAAGGTGTTTGTGGCCGCAGCTGATGGCTCTGAACACAAGACCTACCAAAGAAGCGACAAGCTGCAAGCCAGGATACCTTCCATATTTCTTCCGTTACAGTGGAAGGCATGCAACAAATTCAACAGATATCAACAGATTACATAGATTCGTGATTCATATCTAAAGTGTTTATTTCATGTATGTTGATGGCTAGGTTGGGCACTTCTCATGTTCATCTGGGGTATGGCTTGCAATCTAAGTCTGGAGGTGCGGATTCCAGTTTCATAGTTCGCAGCCCAGCCCTGAACCAACCTTTGGTGGATGTAAACCATCCCTATAAAACCCCCTTTTTTTTGGGGGTTGTACATCTAAAAACCATCCCCGGTAGTCTGGTAGTTCTTCAGCCGGCATGGCTGGTCCGGCTGGGATGATCTCAAGATATGGCTAAAATATGGTAAGATTGAAGCAGTACTCACCATGGTCTTTTTGCTAAATCGATAAATCCATATAAATCCAGTAAGTATGATATGGCTATATGGGAGAAATCCAATAGATACCCTGGATCTTGTTGCTTCTCCATGCCCTTTCGCCTGCGCCATGTGTGTCTAGCACTTCCTCTGCCGCTGGTGACGTCTGGGTGGTTGGAATGTCAGGCGGAGTTCGGAGAGGCCCCCGGAAAGGGGCGAAAGGTCCAGATTTGAAGCAACATGTTTTTTTTTACCGGTAGAAGGGAATGAACACATATCAAATCACAGTATATATAAATGTACATAAATGTGGTAAGCCCATTTGTCAACCACCCCCCAATTTACCATCAATGGCTGACATATGGTTATCCGAGTGCATCTTTATTCTTTGGTTTACCGCATTAAACAAGAGGGGGCTTGCACGCCAAACATGGAGTTGACAGATACAAAATCAGCGACCAAATAGCGACAGAACAAGAACAACAGGTAGAGATTCGGACAACAAAACACCGGATGATACGGCCAACAATCATGTTGGACGAAATCAGCAATAGGGATATGATTGACCGCTTTAAGATCTGTGGCATAACCCAACAACCAGCCATGTTTTCATCTTCTTTGGTCTTGGTTCATAAGGGGATGTATACCTATATCAACTATAACAAGTTGAGTTTTTGTTTGCCGAGTGTGGGCGATTCGCTCTGATCCTATCTCGATGATTGTTTGAATCGACATGAAATCACTCAAATCGCTACTTTGTTAAGACATCATCAAAGACCATCAACCACCATTTCTCGTTGTTTCCATGCCTTTCTTGTTGAACTTCCCATTCTTCACTTCCATGGGCCGCAGCGCCCCAAACCCCAAACCAGGGCCGCGCAGTTGCGCCACAGCCACCTCCAGAGCGGCCTGGGGAGCGCGGCCTGCCACGGCTGGGGGCCCGCATCTTAGATTTGAGGCGTGGGGCCGCTTGGTTAAAAATTGGGCCTTGGGGAGTCTTGGGGGTTTCCATAGTCATGGGGAATCCCCAATAGCTGGATGGGTTATAAGGGAAAAACCGAACATAACATGGATGATTTGGGGGTACCCCTACTTTAGGAAGCCTCCTATTGGGGTGTGGTATATAATGCAAGACCATGCAAGACCATGCAAGACCATGCAAGACCATGCAAGACCATGCAAGACCATGCAAGACCATGCAAGACCCAGGTTTGTGATCTTGACCATATTGCCCAAAGTATCCTAAAGTTCCTAAAGCCAGGGCTAGCAGATTTCAGACTGGACCATGCTCAGCAAGTTGCCAGGCACACCTTCGAGTTCCTGTCCACCGGCGCCAGTCTGGTAAGGCTTGAAGCAGATTGGTGGAGGGAGCACTGAGCGACTGACCAACTCACCTCACCAGAAAATTTTAGTTGAGATAATCATCCCAAATAGAGTTGAACAGGAAAACATGTTTGAAACCAGCAACTAGCAAATGAAATTCTGCCGCACTGAAAATCTGACAATGGAACATTGCGGATTTGTGGCTGGTTCTCCTGCAATGTTTGATTAACTATATATATATATATATATTGTGTGTGTGTCACAGATTCATGGCCATCTCAAGCGTGCACGATAGATACGAACAATTACAAAGATCTCTGGGTCAAGTGGTTTGGCATCTTGATCTGAACCACCAAGCAATTTTCGGGTGCATTTTTATATGATGTTAAGGGGAAACCGCTAGGATTGAAACCATGGGACATGGGCGTCCCTAACTTCACATTGAGCCACCGGAGTTGCTGGCTGGTCAGGCTCCAACTGGAGGATTTCCAGTGGCTGAAAGGCACATTTTTGGTGGAGAAGAGGGCCCCGGAAGAGGGTGATTTGAAAGAGGGTCGACGACATGGAACCACCAAACAATCAATTTTCCATAGTAAATTTGCCATAACTACATATTATAGATAGATAGATAAATAAATAGATAGATAGATAGATAGATGGTAAATCATCCATTCTTGGCCATACCCATATCGCATTTGCCATGGACCTGCCGACTTTCTCCAAGTTGTAGCAGTTGTCACCAATTGCAGCGTGCAGATTGGCTCGCACATATCACCGGATTTCTCTGCACAGGCTTTCTTATATTCAATGGTGTCCCAGAAATTCCGCACTATAAATCACCAGATAATGGTTGCTTCAGCTATTAAACTTTAGATTTATTCGATCTTGGATTTGCATCCCACTTCCCTGAGTGGGGAATGACTACCATGAAATATAACTATAATTATGGATTAAAATTAAAACATGTTCAATGGGATCCGTGATCAACCCCAAGCTATGGCTTCTCAACCCCTGTGGCTGATTTTTGGGTTTAGGTGTCGACCCAGACCTCCGCACTGGCTTCAATGCATTGCTGCAGGGTCGCCTTGGAAAGAGCTGCTGCATGGCAGTGGATGCTGCTTGGTTTCAGGAAGGGCCTGGAACATCCTGGAACCCCAGTGGCATCGCCATAACATAGCCGTCCCATGGTGGTGGGACCCCATCATTTCCAAGCAGGAATGTTGTGTAGGGAACACCATGCCCCAGATCCGCATGTATGCTACATCCGCATTTTCACCCCTGGCAATATGTCAGATTGAACTGTTCATGGATACTAATGGCATGTTTGTTTGCATGGGGTTGTTTGTTGAGATTGTTCGGGCGAGCACCACAACAACACCAGCCATTCAGTAGGCATATATGCCAACACTAACCTGGTGAAACGACTGGCCTGATAGCCGGCTTGCTGGCTTGCCGGGATATCCCCTATTTTGATGATGCGTTTCGATATATGTGTTTATTCAACACTGTGACTTCCACGTTGGGCTAGTAATACTTAGATGCGCATCACAGTTGGCAAGTGATTTTTGACCGATATAGAAGCCAGGGGATATTTCACAAAAGAATACAAAAGACTACAAAAAGTATAGAGCTACTTGTCGGTCCGGTTATACTACGGGTATTGACCATTCGCCACTGAACCACTCACCCTCCTACAGAGATCCATGAACAAAGCTAGGGAAACCCATACATTTCCGTGTTTACTGGAGGCATTCCAGGTAGCTTGGAGAAGTAGGCTACCCTCTTCAGCACTGTTGCGCCCCGGAGGATGTGTTGTCGCGGAGCTGGGAATTGCAAGTGGCATCTGAGCGGCTGAGGTTGCTGCAGAAACCTGGCAAGATATCCATACGTTTTTTTGCATTTCCTCACATTTCCTGATGCTTATTTGATGTTTATCTATAGCATTCTATAGCCATCAGCAACCCTTGTTTGTTTTTAATTGTTTACATACAGTACATACATGCACACATTACATGACATGACATTACATTGCATTACATTGCATTACATTATATACATTGCATTACACACACATATATATATACACATTATGCATGCACATGACCTTGATGTGGATTTGTTTTGATTGACACTGGAATATTGACATGGGTAAGATGCCCATTTGGAGATCCTTGCAGCCCTTACTTCATGCCCAAAGTGGCTGCTTTGCTGTTTATTCTTGCGGGTGCAGGCCCACAATGTATGCAGATGTACGCCATCAAATGCACTGGGGCATCGAACCCAATTTCAATGGTTCTACCCTCTGGTAAACTAACATAGCTATTGAAAATGACCATTTATAGTGAGTTTTCCCATTAAAAATGGTGATTTTCCATAGCTATGTTAGTTTACCAGAGGGTAGCAGTAAGATGCAATTTTCTGCAAGACCAGTACATCTCCACGCTCAACCTACCTTAACGCTGTTCAGGACCCAGCGTTCGGCGCTCGTCGAAGAGTTGTTGGCCCTGAAACCCGCAGCTGGTGTCTTGTGCAACAGGCGCAGCTCCCGGGTTTGCGGCGTATGAGCTGCGTATCTGGTTATGCCAGTTTATATCACCATTGAACCACCAGATAATTATAAATTATATTAGTTTTATATCACCATATATCACCATTTTTTATATCACCATTGAATCACCATTTATATTAGTTAACATATGTTAACATGGTAGTTTATGCCATGCTGTGCCACATTCCTTTCGTTGACGGTGCAGGAATGTGGTGGACTCGCATGCGTGGCACCGAAAGCAGCTCGCCCCAGGAAATTCCCGAAGCAAAACCATGGTTTCGTTTGGGGGTGAATCTTGGTAGCTCAATAAAATCCTCAGTTATACTAAAAATCAGCATGTTTGCCATATTGATCCATATTGCCATTGATTGGGGTGTTTCCTATTTTCAGACTGACCAAGTTTTTGGTTCCAAGTCTGAAAATAGGAAACACCCCTAAGTCTGACCAAGTTTTTGGTTCCAAGTCTGACCAAGTTTTTGGACCAAGTTTTTGGTTCCAAGTTTCAGTGAGGAAAGCCTCCAAGTTCGAATTGCAAGAGCTTTGGCGTCGCTTCTTCGCTCAGCGGAAGGCGACCGGTGGAACGCATGGAAAGAACCACAGGGTATGACTAGGGAATCCACGCGACTTCGGCTCGAAACTGGTTAGCACCTCTGGTCAATGATTGGGTTATCTCATTTATATGCATTTATATTCATTTATAGCTGAACCAACCCCATTTACTTACCAGTTTCTACGATAGCATTTACAACTGAACCAACCACACTTACCAAACAGTTGTTTTTTAGTGTGGTGAAGCACCAAGGAGGCTATGAGTAAGGATAAGCAGGGGAAATTAGGGGTTGCGGGAGAAAAAAACAGACATGTAATTTTTGTGAATGTTCATTTTGGAACTGGGAGAGTTTCCTATGCCAAACCGCCAATGAGCTGCTAGGTGCTGGTGATTCTGGGAGCCTGGGAAGCATTGGTGAGTGGACCTTTAGACTGGAGGGTTGCGCATGAGCAAATTTGTCATGTATGTATTTTTTTGCTGCAAGATGGAGTGATTTCTTATGGCAGAAGTCATGGCCTTGGGAGTAAGAGTATTTTTCGCGTTCCAACCAGTGATTTCTCCAGTTTTGTGGCTATGAGTTGTATAGTTAGATCATGTTAGATCTATACCCTTTACCAACAGAATTCATATCTACACGGTGGTGCCCCACAGTTGGCTAAGTTGGCTTGCTACTCAATGGGGACTACAAACCGGCAGACACAACTGGGGGGACCACCTCGTTCCCTTCCCTGCTGATTGCTTCTCCAGTTTCTAAGTTAGAAAGTTTCTAGAAAGGTAGATATTCTATGATATCCTTCACCAACTTGATTTGAATACCGAATACCTATATAATATTGCTCCAGGTTCAACCCCAAAGCTAAGATCTCAACGTTGAGATGTTGAGTTCCCTGTTCGATATTTCAGAGATTCCCAGCTCCATGGATTCGGATTCTTTTTGCTCCCATGAAATCCCATTCAATAACATCTAAGCCCCATAAAATCCTATCAACACCCGTTAATAATTAACTCCCAATAATATAAATCCCATTAACACATATTAGCACCCCATGAAATCATATAAAACCCATATTTAAGTTTCATATTAAATCCCTATTTAAGTTGATGATTTTAGACACCTCCAGCCACTAACCCCGAAAGAATCGCCTGTTTTGCCATGGTCCCTTGGACCTCAGGTGATGATTTCTCCGCCAAAGACCTGGAGAGGCTTCGGACCTTGACCGCTGCAGCGAGCTCTGCGGCGCGCTACGTGACGCTGGAGGAGTTGAGGGATGGCGTGGCAGGCGGTGGCGCGGATTTCCGGGATGTTTGGGGTTACCCTCTGGAAAATGGCCCATTTGTATACTGGTGGTTTGGAACTTTTTTTATTTTTACCATATATTGGGAATATATAATCATCCCAACTGACGAACTCATATTTTTCAGAGGGATTGAAACCATCAACCAGTATATTGTTGATTTAATGGGACTTAATGAGGTTTTGCACGGGCATCAAACGTGGCTGGAAATCCATGGAAATCCCCGAACCAAATGGGACGACATGACTCATCCGACAGTCAGATAGTCAGATCAAACCTTGAAAATGACGTGGTAGATACAATATCTAATAGACTAACATAGTCCTTGCTTGCTGAGGTTGGCGTGAACGCAGTTGAGAGTGGCCGTCCCAACGGGCATTGTTGCTCAAGTTCAATGTGGCAAAGCTTCTTAGGCGGGGCGGCATGGGCCGTTGCGCTCACAGGTCGCGGTGAACCGGTGCATTGTCATTGCACCTGTGAGTACAGCGTTTGGGTGGAACTTCTGAAGGGCTTGGTGTGGATCAGCATTGCCCTGTTTTTCTACACACAACGTGTCATTGGTTGGCTGTGGGAACGGCGGTGGCCTTGCGTTCTAACAAGTGACCCATCCCACGAGAGACCGGTGGTAGGGGAGGCTGCAGAGGTGATCCACTTTTCATCAGAGACTTCCAATCATTTGGTTGAACAAAGGGCCAAGGAACAGTTGAATGCATTGAGGAGAAGGCATTCAAGCAAGCAGCAGTGATGTCGCTTCAGGAGGGAAGTCGGGTGTTCATATGCTACGACTTGCCACCCCCTGCACTGTGGCATGAGCGGTACATACTGAGTGCTTGTGCTTGCGGTCGAGGGTGGCATATAGTTTTGACGCCTGATCGAGATGTTTTTCCTGAATTGATTTCTTTAGAAAACGAAGACATAGCCGGATACCGCCTTGGCGATGGCATTCAGCTACCAGTGGGGTTGACTGGCGACAACACGTATCGATTTCGAAACCTGCCTGGACCAGATGAGATGGCTCAGCTGTTGCGTGATGCTCGACATGCAGGGCTAGCTCTTGCTTTTCCGCCTGGAGCTGGGGGGGCCCTGGCCGCTCCTGCTGCAGGCGTTCAAGCACCAGCTCAGCCAGTTGATGATGGCAGCAAATGGGTCATTGTAGAGACTGGTGATGATCGTAGGCGGGGAGATGAAGTGACATTGGATGGGACAGAAATTTTGAGGGACACCGTTGGCCTCAAGCAAGCTGTGGGCAATTGGTATGCCATCCGAAAACTGCCCTCCAATGACCTCACACTATACCCTGGGCGTGAAGCATCAGCAGATGCGAGGCTTCTGGGATTGACTTTTGCAGGGACCACACGTGAAGAGCGGCAATGGCGCGATGTAGCAAAGGAATCTCATGAGGAGAAGATCGAAGACTGGAGTTCCCGGGCCTAGGACAAGCAGCTGGTGTTTGAAGTTCATCAACCGAAGAAATGGTGGGCCTAGCGATCACCATCGGTGGTGGGTGCAAAACAACGGGCTGCAGCAGGACAGTTGGGGCGTTCAAGAGCACGACAATTTGTCCAAAATCATTGACAGGCTTGGGAGATATGATGGCCTTGATTTGGCCAACATTGCTGGAGCCGAACTCATCTTCAGGCGTCTTCAACTGATTGAATATTTTTATTCTGAAAAGGGACCAGGAGGTGGGAAGGGTTCTGGCAAGGGCGAGAAGAAGGATAAGAAGTCCGACGATGGCAACTACAAAGCGGAAGCTGCTGTGTTCGCTGGGTCCCATCGGGAGTTTGGTGATACCATGGTGGCTCCGGAGTTGCTGGACTATGTGAGTAAGGAAATCGAGAAAGATGCCAGTGTCATGAAGCAGGTTCGCAAGGCGCGTGAAGAGCGCCAAGCAGCAGCGAAGTGACCCTTTGGTTTGCATCCCTGATCAATGGAGTCAGGGAAGATGTCACCAAGGAAAAGAGGAGTTTTTCCACTGCCTTTTTTGCCTAGTGAGCAATTTTGTCCTATGACCGCTGGGACCACCGGAGCATTTGAAGGCTCATTTCATCGAGGTGCCGGTTTGTCATGCAAGTGTTTGAGACGTAGTCGGGTCCGGGGCCACGTTAATTCATGGGTTCAGGACATGGTTACATCCCTCAATGAGATGTTTCTTGGGGGAGAATTCGCGGATGAGAAATTTTCCAGTTCTAGGGTTTTGGCATCCCAGAGGCAGTGTCTTAGTCGATTTCATGATGCTGTTAGACAACTTGGGAAGCCACCTAGTGACATTTCTGGCCCGGGGGCCCTTAGGGAGCTTCAGGGCAGTTGTGGCTATTCAGGTGAGCCTGCTAGCCTTGCCAGCTTTCGAGAGGATTTGATATCCTTGCCGTCGGTTGGTGGTTCTCCTTCTAGCATTGAGACCATCGTAGGCCCGGCGGCTGAGAACATTTTGAAAGTTTTGCGCGATAGGTGTAGATCTAGGGATGCGGCAGCAGCAGCGAAAGGGGAAGTTGGGCTGAAAGCCCCATACATGGATCCAGTGTTGAAACGGTCCAAGAGTAGTTATGTGAAGTTTCTTCAACGCTTACATGCCTCGCAGCTGATCGAGTTTCGCACTCAGGCCAGGGAACATGTCGGTTTGTTTTGTGTTTGGAAGAAGAGCGGACGTCAGCGCCTGATCGTTGATGCCCGGCTATCCAATCAGTGGTTTGATCCTCCCATGAAAGTTGAACTGGCCACTGGTAGTTCCTTCACGCAGATCGAAGTTGATCCTGGTCCATGCATTGAGGTTGGAGGTGTTGACATCGCCGATTGTTTTTATAACATCCTTTTGCCAGAAGAGTTTAGAGATCTATTTGCCTTGCCCCCAGTCACTGCATCGGAGGCTGGTGTGACGGTGGCTGATGGAAGTGAAGCGCACGGGTCTCAAATTGTCTTCCCGGTTTTTAGGGTGATTCCCATGGGCTTCACACATGCACTGTGGGTATGCCAGCAGTGTCACCTTGAGGTTGTTAATTCATTGAAAGCCATTCCTGAAAGTCTTCGCTTCGTTGATGGCAAGCCTATCCCCCAAATGAATCCGTTCATCCATACCGAATACGTTGACAATTTCGTTGCCCTTGCACAACAGCCTGGAATTGTCGCCGAGGCAGCAGCCTTGGTCGGTGCTGAATTCCAGGCACGGGGATTGCCAACACATCCGGTTGAGAGCGGGGTCGGAATGGATACCTTGGGGTGGCACTTCAGTGAATCTTCACCTTCAGTGGCAGTAACTCCCAGGCGTTTGTGGAAGCTTCGGTTTGGTGTTCAAGAGTTGTTGAAGAAAGGATGGAGTGATGGGAAGACAGTAGAAAAGATCATTGGGCATCTGACGTTTGCCGCACTCCTTCGTCGCGAGCTGCTCTCTTGTTTCCAGGCCTGTTATGTGTTTGTACGAAAGATGTACACCAAGCATTGCAGACTGTGGCCAGAGGTTCGCAGGGAATTGCGTTGGGCTGTAAGCTTGTTACCCTTAGTCCAGAGAAACTTGAGTGCAGAGTGGTCTGATGAAGTTTTTGCATCCGATGCTTCTCTTTGGGGTAGGGGGGTTGTTTCTAGTCAGCGTGATCGTAGCCTCATTCGGGAGCAGGGCCAATACCGTGATAGGTGGCGGTTCAGCCGTGATGAAGAGCAGTCGATTTTGCATGCACCCCAGGTTGGTCCTGGAACCTTTAGCGATCTGCTTGACTTCGAAAAGAGTCAGGCCAAAGCGGGGGATCCGCGAATCCCTGAAATTAGCCTGGAGTTGTTGGATGGTGGATGGAAAGTTCTTAGCAGCCAGCCTTGGGAGAGACGTGAACCAATTGTAATCTTAGAGGGTCGTGCCCTGGTGTGGATTGTTCAGCACCTTGCGCGTTCATGCTCTAATCATGGAAAGAGGCATCTCATTTTGACTGACTCGATGTCTGGGGTCCTCTCTCTGACGAAAGGCCGTGGGGGCACCAGCGCCTCAAATCGGATCTGCCGTCAAGTGGGGGCCCTCAGCGTAGCTTGTGATTTTGATTTGCACTTCCGCTGGATAGCCTCTGAATTGAACCCGGCCGATGCAGCCTCACGCAAGCGGCATTGCTCAAGATTTGATTCTAGTGAAGGAGTTTCAAACTTGTTGTCTCAAGATGCTCCTTCGTGGCGCTCAGCCGGGGCGTCATGGAGGTATCAAGCGGCCCGGTTCTATCGAGGCCAATCAAGTGTTGATGAACGAGGAGGTGATGGAGAATTGGGAGTTTCAGGTCATCATGGCCACACCAGATGCCAAGCAGACTCGGGCCAAGATGAGACATGTGAGGCATGGACCCAAGAAGAGGAAGGGAAAAATAGTCCCGAAAGAGCACACCTTTTTGGAGACCAACACGATCACTCCACAAAGGTTGACCAGCTACCAGCGAGCATGGACAGAGTTCAGCCAGTTCTGCATGAAACAGAAGCTGAGGTTGGTCACACTGATGGAGTTAGACGCAGCAGCTGCTCACTACTTGGATCACCTGTTCTTCGAGGGGGAGACATTGTCCAGCGGCATGACTCTTCTGGCTGCGATCAAATACCATCGAAGCGAGATTCCCAAGTTGTCAGTGTTGACCCGGTGCATGAAGTCTATGAAAGGGTTCCGACGTCTGGCTCCACCAAAGGCCCGGGTTCCTTGCCCTTTCCCAGTGCTTGCGATGATTGCGGCGCACCTGATGACGGTGAAGAAGGAAGTGATGGTGGCAGTGTGGCTGATCCTGACTTGGGCACTTTGCTGCAGGCCAGGCGAGTCCCAGAAGTTGATGTGGAAGCAGATAGTGGCACCAACTGCAGAAAAACAAATCCTGGTCAGTCCTCCTGTCAGCATCGTCACCTCTCGAGGGAAAGTCCCAGCCAAGCAAGACCGGAGAAATGGACGAGTCCATAGTGTTAGACCATCCGTACCTGAGCTGGTTCAACAAGGTTCTGAAGAAGTTAAAGACCGGGAAGTCTCCCAACAGCCCAATGTTTTCCTTCAAGACTCAGTACGGCAGTCAGATGTTCAAAGACGTTGCCGCAGAGCTTGGGTTTCAAAGAATTGGGATAAACTGTGTGTATCAGGTGAGGCATGGTTCAGCTTCCACCGATATGCTGGACAGACACCGCAGCACAGAGGAGCTGATGAAGCGAGGCCGGTGGAAGAGCCTGAGCTCTCTCCGTCGGTACGAGCAAGGCGGCAAACTCAGCCAGGTGTTCAGCAGCCTGACCACACAGCAGCAAGAAGCTACCTTGAAAGCCGCAAAAGACTTAGGCAATATCATGGTCCGTTCTGTTGGCTGAGGTTTTGTCCTAGGCGTTCAGTTTTCCTTGAGCTCTTCTCTGGGAAGGGCGGCATTTCTAGGGCAGTTAAGAGACATCTTGGCAAGTACTTTACTGTTGTCGCGATCGACATTGAAAAAGGATCGCAACATGACCTCACCAAGACACATTTGCAGCAGTTTCTCATTTCACTCATTAAGCAGGGACTAGTAGCTGGTGTCTGGATTGGTACTCCATGTGCCACATGGTCACGTGCCCGTCGCAATGGCGGCCGTGGCCCACCACCCTTGCGTAGTGATGAGTGTGTGTGGGGCCTGCCGGGTCTCAATGCCAAGGATTGCGAGCGACTGCAGCTCGGAAATGCATTGGCTCGTTTCTCAGTTCGAGTGTTTCGTGTATGCCTGCAGTATGAAGTTGCCGTTGCTCTTGAAAATCCCCATACATCGAGATTGTGGCTGATCCCTTCCATACTGCAGTGGTTTCAAAAGGGTAATGTAGGCTATGTGTTAACTGACTATTGCCAAGATGACAAGCCTTGGCGCAGACGCACCAGACTCATGTTTGCTCATGTTGATCTTCACCATGTTGGTCGCTTGTGCTCAGGTAAGCATGGTATTTGTAGTCGTTCCGGTAATGCCCATGTCCAGCTCATTGGCCAATCCGGAGGTCAGTTTCTCACACTTCAAGCCCAGCCTTATCCCAAGAAGCTTTGCTCTCGGATCGCATGTCGTTTCCAACATGCCATTTTTGATTTTCTTTCACGACCTATCAGTAAGCTCTTGATCACTGATGGCCAGATGCAATAACGGATGCGCAGTTGATGCCGTTAGTTTGGCTGAGTTGGGATCGATTTCATATCCCGTCTTTGTCGTGTAAGTGATGCGCATCAACTGACACAGAAAGTGTGCCTGGCCGCGGAAAAAGATGCAGTGGAGCCATAGTCCTTGCTTGCTGAGGTTGGCGCGAACGCAGTTGAGAGTGGCCGTCCCAACGGGCATTGTTGCTCAAGTTCCCCCCCGATCGCTGCGCTGCCCATCCCATTTTTTCCTTTCAACGGCTGAGTTGGGATCGATTTCATATCCCATCTTTGTCGTGTAAGTGATGCGCATCAACTGACACAGAAAGTGTGCCTGGCAGCGGAAAAAGATGCAGTGGAGCCATAAGTATGGAACATGGTACATCTATAGATGATTTATCGATTGAAAATGGTGATTTTCCTTAGCTATGTAAGTTTACCGGAGGGTGTGATGCGTGTATATATATATATATGTGTGTATATGCATATATGTATCAATCCCTCCCCCTGCCATATCAAATACTCGCAATAGTAGGGATTCCTCAACTTATAGATCCAGTTCGGTTGGTAAGGGGGGGAATGGATCATTGGGAAAAAAGGAGATCGAAAGCAGGTAAGAATAGGATAGATAGAATGGGACAACTATATCTATATATAATCATCTATATCGCCATGAAGCATCCCATTAGTTGGCGGGATGCTAAACCTGTATACATGTGTATACATATATAGGATACAACTAAGTATAATCCATCATTACAAACCAACGTGATATGATAGCTGGGTGTGTCTGAACATGGGATAGACTGTATTAAGTCGGTTAGTCATCACATCCCTAAAACGCGATAAAACCCATAATCAAATCATTATTAAATCCATTTAAATCCCATGAAATCACCTTGACTTATTGTCAAATCACCATGAAAAGCTGAAAAACTCCATTAAATCCCCATCAAACCCCATCGAATCCCCATTAAACCATTAAAACCCATTAAATCCCATTAAATCTCTCGGTTTTCCTATGCCTCCGCAGGTCCACTGTCCCAGCTCCGCCGTGACGCTCTAACTTTCGATGTGGCGCTGCTGTTGGGCTTTCCAGGGCCGCTGGGGGCGCTGCTGAGCGCCGGCCTCGAAACATGGCGCGGTACGAATGGGAACGAGGGGAAGCGCTGGAGATGGGATGCGGTGGGATGATTTTCATTTTTTTGGTTAGGATGAGCATCATATTCTCGGGATGATCTGATAAATATTGAAAAATATCAAGTAATATCGAAATATCATAACTATTAATTTTTATCAATTTAACATAGCTATGCATAGCCATTTACCCTCTGGGAACTTCGCTATCCCCGAAACTGCCGTGGGGATTTCACCACCTTGTCTGGTGTTCTCTTCTCGGTGATTTTATGAGTTTTGTAACGAGGAGATCGAATGGGATCATCCAATTTAGCTTCTGATAATCGAAATATAGCTGCTATAGCTATGGAAAATCATCCCTTTTGATAGGTAAATCCATGTAAATCCTCTTATGCATGGGCCATGTTTATGCATTTTCCATGGCTATGTTGAATTACGGGAGTGTAAAACTATCAGCGAGACGATATTTGTCACGGGGGATTTATTGGGATTACACAGTGCTTTTTTGGGATTTGATGAGGATTAGATATGATTTAAGATATTTAAAAATATAAGTGGCCAAAAATACCTGCGCAATTGGGAATATCTGAAATATCTTTGGACGAGACTTAAAATTAATAGGAACTCCAATATTGAAATCCGAGTTTCGGGGTTGAACATGGAACAAGATAAGGTATGCATTTTGTTGGCAAAGGGTATCACAGAATATCTATCATATGTTTATTTAGCTTTACGACTGATAACTTAAAAGACCGGAAAAGCAACCAACAGCAAAAAAAATACAAGGTGGTGACCCCCAGTTGCGTGCTGTTGGTTTCTGTCAACCCCACTCACTAATTGGTTCAATATATCTACACAATAAAGACTATAATTATATAGTCGAGTTAAACACCAACTTAGCCAATTATGGGCCACCACCTTGTCTCTATATCTGGATGGATTGTTTCCACACTCTTTTTAAAAAAAACATTTTGGAGATCATATGGTTTTGCCATGAGTCCCGCTAGAACTAAGACTTTTAGCAGGGGATTAAAAAATAAACAGTATGACATGTGTGCGCGGGTATTGGTAGAAATCAGACCGAATCTGCCCTGGACATTTCTGAAGTCAGAGTGATTTGCCCGCGCTGCACCAAACTCAAAAATGCCAAGCAGATCCAACAGTTTCCGTTTGCAAAGCAACCTCTCAGTTTTCTTATGTTCCTTTACTTGCGCAATTTACGATGGTAAACCCAGTCAATTTCTACTCCCACATAGTTTATCATCATCATTATTATTATTATTTCATTATTATTACTGTTTTTTTTTTATTAGTAATATTATTACTATATTAATTAGTATTATTGTTACATATATCATATACATATATATATATATTCCAAGTGAGTTGCCTCACTGCCCTCTACAAAATCTATAGATAAACTATGATAAACTAATTCACTTCCCCTCACGAAACGTTGTATTTGATATGCCAGCCATCCCAACCGGTTAAGGACTGCGTCATCCAAGCTGTGGACGGCGGCATGATGGACGTGGGCCCGGCCGGATGGACTGCGCGCCTGGGAGGGGACTTAGAAGGTGGAGCAAGTTGGTTTAATTCACCTGATGAACTGTTTTTTTTTTAATAAATGGGGGATATATTGTGATATAACTAATATATCATTATAATATCTTATACAATATTGTATGATTATTTATATATTATATAATATTTTATAATATCATTACAATATCTTATATAATATTATATAACTAAATAATGTGGTAAACCCAACAATTCAAAACCCAGTTTTGGTAGGTGGATGATTTCGTTTACTTCAAAACGGGGAGCGGCCGCAGCAAGGCGCCCGGAGCCTGCACCCTTGCGATCCATTCCGCCGGAGGCGGAGGCCACGGGCCATCCGCGGCCGCATTTGCAACGGAAGACCCGGTGGCTGACGCTGCACCTTGGGTGTGAAAACGACGGGAGATCCAACTGGTGATGTGCAAAAATCACATGAATTCTGCTGTGATTTTTGATATATTTTTTTTGATGAGATTTTTTTGTTTAACAAATGTTTGTTCAAACGGTGTCTGATGTTGTTCGACAGGTCTTGTGCTCTCATCGTGAGATATGATTGATGCCAAACCAAAAATGTTTTGTGTAGGGGATCTAGAATTGGCATTCAGATGCATTTATAGTATTAAGCGCAAGAGATGCAATAGATTAATATGGCAATAGAGAGCCACAGTTCATAGACAAAGGGAGCGATGCTGGAGATGATTTGTCTACGCCTACTCGTGGAAGAGAGAGGCGTCTCGGAGAATTGAGATGGGCAGTATCCAGAAGATTCCAGAAGCACCCTGCAGTTGATTCAGTCTGCATTTTTGTAAGTGGATTTAAGTTTGAAACCTTCCAACTGCATGTCTGGTCAGTTTGATCTCAGATGGGTCTGGTATAGACTTAAGTTATGTTTTGCTGCCCTTTCCCTTCTTGGAAATGTAGAAATGATCTATAATAACATACAATGATGACAACAATCATCCCATTCCACCATTCCCTACTGAGCACCAGAAAGATCAGAAAGTTTCATGGTCAGAATCGATGGCCCGGAACTTGATTCAAGGAAAGCGTTCAGACTCTCCATATCCCAATGTTTAGACGATAAGAAACACGGGCACACACGCACACACACACATATATATATAATTATATATATATATATATTATATGTGTATATAAATATATATATATATATTAACTATATACATATATATATATATATGGTAACTATATATATTTATATATGTTTTAAATATGTACGGTAAGTCCACAGGTTTTTGCTACGAATTTTCTGCGCATCTTCACCGAGTTTCGTTGAGACCGAGGGACGGCTTTTGGGATGTCTCTATCAGCACTGAGACCACTCTCCCCACAGCCTTTGAAGATGGGGTGATCCAGGCGCGCCCGGGCCTGGATCCTGGATCCATGGTGCGAAAACCAACAGAAACGGCGATGAATTTGGGAGAAGTTCATGGTAGGGAAATCCCGGCGGTTTTGAATGGATGAATTAGATCATATTAGATCGCCCATGCCAAGTAGATCGCCCATGCCATCGCCATACACTTCGACTTTTTGGATATTTTTGGGATTCGATGGATTTTTTCGGTGTGAAAACGTGAAAACAGAAGCTTCCCACCAAGAAATCTGAGGTGCTGAGTTGCATTTGTGGAACGTACGGAAGTGCAGTCTAAGTTGAAACGACACTTGTGCAGGAAACGCTTCCATTTGAGAGTCAAAGCAATGATTTCCTTTAAATCTTTCCTTACACCAATCCATTATAATTGACGATACCCCATTAAATCATGTTGAATCACATTAAATCATTTTTAAATCCTATTGAATCCCATTCAATCCTGATTAAATCTGATTGAACTATATTAAATCATGATAAGTCCGTACGCCTTCCCTCCGCGCCGTCCTGCCATGTCTTTTCCATACCTGGCAGGTGCCATTTCCAGTGGAATCGCATCAGGGCGGCTGGCTGCGAGTCTCGGAGTTCGAGTAGTTTCCCGGAGCTAAACCTGGTGGGTTGGGGGGGTTGGGGTCCTTTGGGTGATGGGAGTTTTTTTCAACTTCAGAAACTTCAGTAACGTTTATTGGGTGCTGGTTAAAGAACTTTAAGTAACTTCAGTAACTTCACTTGGGGCATAGTTTGATGAGTTTCAACGAACTTTGAATAATTCGGTCGGAGAAATATCACAATGGGTTTCTTTTGAAAACGTTCAGCTATAACCAGACACCGGTTCGCAACTTTTGGGCGAAAGCACTGCTGTAAGCGGCCTATCATTTCCCATATCCCAGCGGACAAACCTCGGATCAAACTTCTTTCAGTCATGATTTCTTTTTTCTTATGTTTTTCTCTTGGGCTGTTTCAAACGAACTTGCTCATGATTTTTGAATCAGCCATTTTGTCTGGAAAATCGTCCAACATCATCTAAGACTCAGCCATTTTTCTGAAAAACATGGTAAAATATCAGCAAACATCTTCCAAAAATTTCCAAAATCAGTTCGACTCAGCCATTTTTCTGGAAGAAAACTCCCAAAACATCAGTCCGACACCAGAATCGCCTCGCCGCAGTCTCTGGCTACGGCGCATTTTTCTCGCTCCGCCGGCGTGGCGTCGTGCCTTGCTACACCTGGATGGGCGCCTTGACTGGATTTTTCATAGGGTGCCTGTTCAGATATTTTCAGAGAAATCCCATGGGAAAAATAGATGAATATATCTATCTATTAATATATATATATGGCTTAACCCTGCTTAACCATGCTTAACCATAAGAAAAGGTGGTTTGATAGGGGTTTATGAGTGTTTTAACCATGAAACATGGGGAAATAAGCTTAAGACTGGAATCTGGAGCTCTTCACCAGCAAAACACTCTGTGGATTCACCATCAACCAATTTGGATTCATCAAAAAGGTTATGTAACAACATTAAAAACTATCAAACATATTGGCTTAATCATCAACCAATAGTGTTTACTAGTGGTTTCGTAGTGATTTAAGATGATTTAAGCATCAAGAACAAGGGTATAACTTACGGTATACCCAACAAAACATGGGAATATTGGAATCCAGCATGGACTTATTTTGGAATATCGATCTATATTGTGAGGTGGTTTAACGCTTTAACCGCCAAGAATCAACAAACATGGGGCAATTTTGGGTGTACAAATTAGGGAAGGTGACTTTAGTACTGGTAATGTCAAATAATGGCCAGCTTAAAAGCGAGTTTTTGCGAGCGAAGAATGGCCATGAACTCATGGCGAATTTGTGATTTTACTTTGATTGCTTGGGATGTATCTACAGTACATGTACGTATGTATCCATATGATTGTTGAGATGCATGTCTATACAATTTCTGTGATTGGTTCGATTTTTTTTTATAGATAATATTAGCATGCATGTTGCCCAAAATTGTATAGGTTATGATTTTCTTGATGACTGAGCAGGACCAAATGGGTGCTTTTGTGCAGGAAGCATTCCGGAAATATGGAAGATTTGGGCATGACTTTCTGGTCATTTCACCTGGCTTTCAACATCCCCATCTCAAACATCTTGAATACCAAACAGTATCTGTGGGGGAAGTCCACAAGGCGAGTTGAAACCGGTCTCAGCCCACTGTTTTGGAGATAGCTGTGGGGTTGGCGGCCACTGAGTCTTCTCAGTTCAATCCGAAGATTCCAATCCTTTTCGGTAGTGTTAAGATAGAAAGTAGAGGTGTTTCACCCATTTTTCTTTGTTCTCTCATGCGCAATCTGAGTTTTCTGGAGTTGAGGTCCATCGATTCTAAGGTCATTTTGCCATTTATTTTACCAGCCCCTCCTATCCCGCGACATCCAAGACAACGCCCTAGATTAGCCCTAGGTGTGACTGGGAATGCAGTGTCTTTGTGAAACTCGTCTGCCACATTTTTTATGTTTTCTTTTGCAGTTGGATGGAACAACGTCCGTAATCCCATCCATCACTGGTTGGTGGTTTGGAACATTTGAATTATTTTTATATTGGGAATGTCATCATCCCAACTGACTTTCATATTTTTCAGAGGGGTAGGTCAACCACCAACCAGATCATTTAAAAAAAATCAAGACGGTCCCCAAAATGAACAGATCCAAATAGGTCCAAACAGATCCCACGACTAAACTGGGTGTATAAAAACCCTCCAAGTACAGATAATGGAAAATCCACCATTGTAGATCATTTTCCCAGCGAAACTCATATTAAATCATATTAAATCATCATCTGGTTGGTGCTTTGGAACATGTTTTTCCATTCAGTTGGGAATGTCATCATCCCAACTGACCAACTCCATCATTTTTCCGCTAGGAACGGCCGTCTCTTGGGCGTCCACCGTGGAGCCTACGATCCCTTCAGCCTGGAGCTGCCGATGGGAGCGGAGGCCATGACGTAAGGATGGCGGGACCAAAAACCTGTTTGGAATAGCTATTTGAATGGGATTTCATAGTGATTTCATTTCATTTCATTGGATTTAAGGGTGACTTAATCGATCTTAATAGTGATTCAATGGGATTTACTTGATATCATTGATATCATAATTAAACAATTATACAATATACATAACTATGTGTAATATGATTTACCCTCTGGTAATTGAAGGTAACTATAGAAAACCACCATTTTTCATGGGAAAATCCCCCTAGGGCAGCGCTCTCCGAGGCCATGGAGGTTGTGATCAGAGTCTGGGACCCCTCGGACAGCGGCTGCGAAGCTGGGCGGATTGGTCAAAGCCGGGATGTTGGTCGGGAATATATATATAGTATAACCTATTATAATATATTACATAATATATTATTACATAATATATTACATCATGTTATTCATATTATCTATTCGTCTATCTATCTATATATATATATATGGTATATATATATATATATGTATTGTACGTAGGCTATTATTGAGTGAATTACATCCGTGGGATGTTGCACGATATTCACATGTGTGTTTATACTGTATAAGTAGTCCACTGCATCTGTGTGGTATTGCAGCGTGCATGTCCCCAAGGAACCCCTTCTGGAAGACTGGGAGGACAATGTCCAGTGACTGTACTGAGGAGTACAAAGTCGACGAGCAGCCGCGCTGTGACCGGTGCTGCCAGAGTGGATGGCAGCCCAGGGGCAAACAATCCTTGCAGCCAGGATTCTTGGAATTGCGTGGATGATGTGGATGATTTTCGCATTTTTTTGCCATATTTTCCCCGGCGAAGCCACCAGAACAGGGGGCCATGGGGGCCCCTGGCAATCCAAGGATTTATCATGTACTCTGCAGCCACAGGCCCGGCCAGGTCTGAGAAACCAATGGGACATCTCAAGCAATCTTGGAATTTTGGAGGAGGTTGTGAATTTTGGACATTCTCATGCTATCCAAAGAGTATATACATAAATCTATCTAAATCTGATAAAGCTGATACAAATCTGAAGGCCAACTTTTATCCTCATGAATATTAGGAATGAATATGTTTGCGCATTATCGAAAGATGAAGCCGTTGCAGGGCTGAAATCTGAAAGGAGTTAAATGCACGGACTCCCTTCCATCAACCTACGATAGCCCATGGCTGGAGGAGTTCTCTACGGTCTACTGTATGTATTTGTATGTCATCATATATCATCAATGTCAACGTCCAGAACTATCTTTGCATCTCTGTACATTTATGCATACATGATAATATATGTATTATATATATATTATACATATTATGTTCTACATTGACATCACACACATATATACTTAAAAGTATACTTATACATATACCTTATAACCAGGGTTGGCCTATTTAACCAGGGGTTTGTGACGTATCCAAATGGGATCTTGGAAACTATATTGAATTCTTCAGAAACCATATTGAGTTCTTCAGGAACTATTTTGGATTTGGGACAACTATGAGCTGTGACTGTGACTGAGACTTAACTTATGCATCGGAATCTGCACATGATACGTGTATGATACTTGGGAATGCTTTCCTACATCTGAATATTGCATACCGCCACATGGCTAGATACATGTTCCTGGCTTCTGCGCTTCTGAATTCTGAATGGCCGAGCATGCGCGATTGTACACTCTACTATATTACTCAAAAAATGATAGATATACTATAATGATTGTAGCATTTTTTTGAACATGTTATTACTGTTACTATCATACTAAACGGTTCTTCATTTTGATAACCTGACACCTTTGACAAGTCATAAGTTTGAAATCTGAATCGAAACTCTTTCTCCTTTTTAAAACCACCACGTATCAAACCAACTGCAAATTCTGATTTTTTTCATAACAAGTTGGATGAAATAACCTAACAAATCACACAAATTGTGATACGACACGGCCTCGCTGGCAGAATGGGGTACGGAAAGCATTGACGACATTCAACGCACAATGACAAGCAACATTTCATCCAAAATTGAATCCAAAATTGAACTGGACTGTACCTGCCTGAATCGTGAAGATGCCTCTGTTATTAACTTTTGACCATTCGCGACTGACATGATTGCTGCACGGTTTGTTACGACCTGTGATCTATGTGACATGTGAGGAAGAGCCATGAGCAAGGATGACGATGATGACCATGAGGAGAGGATGAGGATGAGGATGAGGATGAGGGTGAGAATGAGGACGAGGACGATGATGATGATGATGATGGTGATGGTGATGATGGAGATGATGATGATGATGATGATGATGATGATGGTGATCATGATGATGATGACGGTGATGATGATGATGATGATGATGATGATGATGGTGTGGTGATGTGGTGATGTGGTGATGTGGATTAAAATTCAAGTTAAGTAAAAGGAAACAACAGGTCAGATCGGAAGGCCAAAGTTGGAAGTTTAGAGTTTCTAGCTTTCAGAGTCGGCATCGGGCTGTTTTTGCTCACCCCCAACCACAGAACTGGCGTACCCCATGTGCTGGAAAGTGGTGTTTAGATCAAAGTGGGGTGTAGTTGAAGATGTTCAGAGGGCATGCGAATTTGAAGATTGATATTTGCCAGGCAGTTAGTGCATTCCAATATAGCCCGTGAGATTCTCCATACAGTTCTTGAAGTTTTCCATATAGTTCCTGAGATTTTCCATATAGTTCCTGAGATTTTCCGTATAGTTCCTAGCCAATTTTTTGCAATTTTCAGACCCCAGGAACGGTCGCGACGGTTTCTACGGTTTCTACGGTTCCATTTTTGGGCATTGGAGGGGTATGGTTGACATGTGGCTTTACGGGGCCACAAATTGAGCCGGAAGAGCTTTGAAGAGATCCAGGGATACAGAAGCCGTTTGGGCATGGAAAACCAGATTTGGAATTTGCCTGGCTTTTGGAATCGAGGAGCACGTTGATTTAATTCACGGGTCCCTCCTTCCCTGTGCTGTTTTTTCCGGGTGGCCCCCCACAGCTACACCAAGAACATCGATGATGCATTTCTTTCATCACTGGCAGGAACCAACTTGCAGACTTGTTCATGTTGCTGATGATTTCCATCCCACCCATAATCTTAAAGGAATTTTGGGTAGGTTGTTGTGGGCTATACTATTTTGGCTATACCACTGAATTATGGTAATTACTATATTATGCGGCCGCGCCAGCGCCAGCGCATATATCAAAACAACTTTTAAAGAACGCCGTGCACGAAAAACTTACAACTTGTAGCTCTTAGCTGAAAATTTGAAACTAATATGTTTTGAAAAAACATTTGGATCATAGATAAAACGAGAAACAAACATATGATTTATAGGGTCAGGACCGTTCCGTGCTACAAGGCAGAAACCGTCGCGACCGTTCCATGCCATATTCAAGATTACAGTCGGAAACCGTCGCGACCGTTCCATGCTATAGCCCTTAAAAAACGGATATAGTCCGGAACCGTCTGCGACCGTTTGGAACCGTTCCTGGAAACTGCAAAAAAGATATAGTGTAGGAACCGTCGCAACCGTTCCACGCTGTATTCAAGATTACAGTCGGGAACCGTCGCGACCGTTCCCGCAAAACTGGTTAGCCTAAATATATCAATATTTATATCTATATATTTTTTATTTTGCATTAGAATATGTATATATATATATACGTACATACATGTACGTGTTACGCATGTATTTTATATGTATACAATACATCATTATATGTGTATACAAGTATATACATACGTTATATCATATCTTTTGAAAAAACTACCTGGTTATAGTTTAGAACACAAGCCGGCGATTTATAATTCTATGATTTTGGTTCCAACATCATCATTGATCCTGGGGTTTGGGGTATGAATGCCCACATCTTTGTAAGTGTTTGTGCCAACTTAAAAGGCTGAACCTAAGTGCAATTCTTTCAGCACAACCCAGTCTTTTCATGTTCCTGCATTTCTTTTAGTTAGTTCCAACATATTTGTTTATAGTTCCAATATTTTCCCATATAGTTCCTATGTTTTCCCATATAGTTCCTATATACCCAGGGTGGCCACACACAAATAGGCCATCACTGGTTATAACATATACCTATATATGTATATATGTAACATGCATATGTTATTTTCATATACATCCATCCATATTATGTTCCCAGATGTCATCAGTCTCTATCCACCGTGACCAGGTCCCTGGCAGAGCATTTGGCTCGAGGCGCGTTGCGCGTTGAATTAATGGATCTTAAGGGATCTTAAGGAAAATTATATAAGGGATGTGAATGGGAAATCAATGTATGTTAATGTGTATAATATATATATATTATATTATATTATATATATGACGGGGTTGGATGTTGATGGATGTTAATCGTAAGGCAAAAAAGTTTGGCAACGTTTTGGCTTGATTTTCTTCGATGGAACATGTGCTGCGGATTTTGGGCTTCCATATCGAATCCAAACCCCCCCATACCCTCTGATAATTTAACAGTTTGCTATATGGAAAATGGCCTATTTATATGTCAGTTGCCTATTAAAAGTGGGGGTTTTCAATAGCTCTGTTAGTTTACCAGAGGGTAATCCATCCAGCCCTGCCCCGCAATGCCCAGGAGGTGCCTTTGTCGCCGTGTCTGATCCGCACGGCCTCTGCACAGCTCCTGGCTCCGGAAGCCACAGCGGAAGCCCACACAGCGGTGGGCTTTGAGGCTGGGTAAACCATATTTTGATGATTTATACATATTTATACAGCCCATTTAGGACTAGGGATGGTGGATCCTATTGCTTTACTATTAGCTAGTTTGGCAACAATTTGATGACTTTCAGGAAAAGTTTTGATGGACATTGATATAGTTGGTAGCAAAGCAATAGGATCCACCATCCCCATGACTTACCATAAATGGCTGGTATAAATGGTTGGTTGGTTTATTATAGCTGTATGAACATCACTACCACAATATCATATGCATTATCATCAATTTGCCAGCTATTTTAGCCTTCACCAGGGGTAAAATGGTTTTGATCCCTCCCCACATGAGGGTTCACCCATCAATAGTATGAAACCTCCCTAGAATCATAGAGATAGTTTGAATGATTTCCCTGGGATACAAAATGTGGATTCTCCCGGTAAATATCTGTGGATAACCATGCAAAGTGATGGTTAAACATGGTATAACTAGCAAAAAAAAGGAACACATAAAAAACGGATAGTCAACCATCAATATAGATAGGGATATGATGAGAACAAGAAAGGACTGTTTGGACAGAACAACCGGTAATTCGAAGGGTAGAACATGGTCATCTTTGGCTATAAATGCGCATATTTACTGCCCAACATTTTTGTGGAGGATATCTAAGATTGGCGATGAGAAAAAACATGATATACATTCATATATTTTTGGGAAACTGCATGTTGCCTTATCTAAATTAAGGCCGACGTGTGCCGACGCAATGGAAATATGCCTTCCGATTTCCATATAATTATTTTTAATTGCGCTATTACCTTGCATGGCCATGCCAGTATTTCATTTCCCCTGACAACTGATGGGTTCTCCTTCACGAGCCCCTGTTTCTTACCTTTTTTCCCCTTTGATATATACTATATCCCAACCCCCTTCAAAATAATCGGGTTCAATATTTATAACTACCATCCACCACTACAGAGTTACTGTACTCTCCGCAACTCAGACGTGGCAATTCAACATCTTACATTTATGGATGGTTGTCCCACTAAAACCTCCATTAAAACGGTGCGGATTTCCAGTTACCATGGCTTCGAAGCGGGGAGCCATCCGGGAGAGGTTGTCCCTCATGGCAGCTGCGACTCTGGCACGCTCAGGGTGGATGCAGTATCCTTAGGAGGTGGGGTCGTTCAGTTGGTCTAAGCTGGCTCTAAGCCATAGAACCGTCAAGACACTAATGTCACCAGCATAAAGTCTTTTTTTGGTGACATGCTGTATATATCTATATAGTATATATATATGATATATGCATATCATATGTATGCTCATATCTGTATGCTTTGAAGTGCAGTTTTGCATGTGCTTGAGATTAACAAACACATCTTCCCAACCACTGGTCACCCTGCCCCCGGGTCGGGTCAGCACCAGGGACGGCGCTCCAAGTTGCAGCGCCTTCAGGGCGCCCGGGGTTGTCCACGGTGGTGGCGATGCCCGTGCAGCTCTGGAGCCCTGAAAGCCCTACGTGGCTTGGTAGCCATCTACCCTCTGGTAATTTAATATAGCTATTGAACATGGCAATTTATAGTGGATTTTCCCATTAAACATGGTGATTTTCCATAGCTATGTTAAATTTCCAGAGGGTACCCCCTAGGCCCTAGGCTGTTGAATTGGGGTGGTACCATTTATATAATAGTGTCAGATTATGACTATTGAATACTATTGGGGGAGTACCCCCCTAATTAATAGACCATGGTTTATTAATCCGGGGTTGGCATTAAATAATCATAGTATATATCATGATATAGTTGGAATGACGCATTAAAATGGTGGGTTTCCAATTATGGGTGTGGGAGCTTCGTTGATAATGCACCGTTGAATTGGAGTATAGTATTGATATCGATATATCGATAGATGGATGGATAGATAGATGGATGGATCGATAGGTAGATAGATAGATCGATAGATAGATAGATGGATAGTGTGTATGTAGTGATAGATAGTAATCGCAGTACTGTATATATAGATAACAGTGGTCATAGCAATGTCTATTGTATTCTATTGTTGGTTTGTTGTTCTAGAGATTGTGGAAACCCAATCTGAAAGGTTCATTTAGGCTTACAGTATGTGACTATCTATGATGTATTGATGATTTATGGGGTGGTCTACTGAGTCTACTTTGTTTTGAGTTTAGGTGGCTGTTGAGAAATGCTACTGCTACAGCAATGAGTTTCCCCCAAACGAAGAGTCATATCAGGATGGGTAAAAGCGTTTTGTACATCCAACAATGTGGTACTCTGGTACTCATGAGCATGCTATTCAACATGTGTTTTTCCAGGAATGAAACCTGTATGTTTTTTGAAACGATGTGAAATACCCAAGGCGGCCCAGCTGATGGTTGATAGCTCCTGGCTTCAGGATGTACACTGCTGAGCTGTCCCTCTGTGATGAGCACGGCTGCGACAGGGTGACGCATCACTTTGCCCTGCGGTGGATCTCGAAATCCAGTAGCAGAGGGCCTAAGGACCAGCCGTGGCCACAGGGTGGAAGGTGGAATATGTTGGAACATGTTGGAACGAATCATCCAAGTTTCCCTCTGCAAAGCTTTGGGCGGAGAGCAAACGGTGGGGGGCACGGCAATATTTGATGGGAGGTAGATGAGTCAGGCTGCGTTTTCCCACATTTGATCTTGCATCATGTAGACTAGACTTCATATTGTTTGAACTCGTTTGAGAAATCCTGCAGGATTTGGAGGGAGGTTCCCCAGATTTTAACCAGTTCATGTTTTGGAAACATCAGACAATTTCAACATTCCCAAACCAATTATATAACTAATTCGATGCAAATAATCAGTGTCCCATGTCTCAACGAATCTGCTTGCAGTCGACCCGGGCCCACAGGAGGAAGTGGCATTGCTGCTGAATGGAGAACCGGTTCTACAAACTGGGGTACTCGGAGCTGAAAAAACATAAACATTCTGGGCAACACTTGGTGGAGGGTAGGTTCCTAGGTTGTTTCTTAAGCAAAAGACGGAAAACACATGATGAATCAGTAGGTTAAAAGCAGGTGGAGGGTATCTAAGCCAGATAATTTTGAGGATGATTCAAAGGTTTGGAGCTGTATTTAGATCGTTTATTGTGTTTGAAGTTCGAACATCTTTGAATGAGACTGGTGGTGTACCTTTTATTTATATTTATTTATGACATACTACATCACTGGTTGCTTATTTCAAACATGGTTTATTCCTATCCTTATCGTGGCCTTTTTTCAGTACCAATCTCACAAGCCGTACATATGGCACGAAGGAACGAACGAATCTCACCATGGGTGATATTATGAGAGAGATATATATAATATATATAATAAATAATATATATATATATATATTATATATATATCATGATGATTATTCTGCATATTTGAGGGAACTATGACGAACATGCGGCTTTATAAACTATCCGGTGGCGAATTCGAGCTATGGATTTGAAAATTCGCTATTCAATGGGGAGGCATGGGGCCACTAAGACCAAGACTTTCCCGACGCTTACGGCCAGTCGCACCAGCCACCACTGGAGAGAAAACACATCTGCTTTGGGATTATCAGTAAGTTGGTCTTCCTTTGAACGTGTATCATATTGTCACTTTTGGTTGCACATAGATTTAAGACCTCAAAGTAGGTCCAACCTAGCCATTTTTTTGTGTTTGCCGCAGCGTCTTTCCAGACATCTCCAGCATGGGCTGTGGTGCCGGAAAAGTCGGTCCCGGACAAGTCGCCCCGGCCGATGGCACGGACACTTCACCCAGTCGCATTGGTCACAGCGGTCCCGAGCTGGAAAGGCATGCAGACAGGTCCGACAGGTCTCCCTGGGGAAAGTTGATGGTGGGATTCTTGATGGCCAAACTGGATCGCTTGGTGCAAGAAGCGCTGGCTGGACTGAAGCAAGATGACTGCGAACTCTTTGCCCATCATATTGATAGAGAGTTCTCGGAGACTTGTGAACAGCCATGGTATGTCCATGCCGTTGTTTTGGGTTGCTACTCCCGAGAAATGTCTTTTAACTACTGTCTGGTTTGATGTCATGTTAGCTGAAACCCCATGTGGAAAGATCTGATGATTAATGGAGGCCTTACTTCCAACAAACATCAATAAACATAATAAACTCAGTTGGTTTCATGTCATTTGATACCTTCATCAAATGAGCTGGGTTCAATTTAAAAAGTACCCCCAGGTGGCCCAAGAAAAAAACAACCCCAAACTCCCAGAGGGTGCTTGGTCCCAAGATGGCCCCAGGAGGAGCACTTGAGGGTCCACCGGCACTTCCTGTCCTCACTGGAGCAGTTGTTGGAAGCCTCACTGGGCGGTTTAGGCATGGGCCTTTCGGAGGTTGCAGAGCTCTTACATCAGGAGGCAGAAAGGGAGACGGAGGCGAGACGCTTGGAACGTTACATCTCCATGGGGTGCCTTAAATGGAGCTGCCAGCTGGTGCCCCCTAGATCGTCCTAGATTCGTCCTAGATCCCTAAGTTGGTAACTCCAATGGCTTAGGGCGAGGAGACATCCTGTTGAAAGAACACCAGTTCATAGGTCGGTTATATCATAGTGGCCCCCCAATTCATGAACGGAACAGAGCCACTACATAGATTCTACAAAGTTTCTCAGGGGCTGTTTTTAACCAGCTATGAAATGTCCACTGCTTAGATTCTATTATTGTTTCCTTTCTGTTTTTTCTTAATTAAATATATCAAGCAACTTTGATGGTCATATCCTATATGATGTTCAATAGTTAACTCCCATTCTTTTAGTGTCTATCCTCCACCAGCAGTCAGCCCAGGAAATATCCTCCAGCAACTCCTCCTTTACACCGAGCTCCATGACTTTGCATGCGTGATGCGCCAGCGCTCCTGGGGCAGGGTCAGCGAAGTGCGTGTCTATTGGGACATCCAAAATGTGGGTGGAGAAGCCATGGAAGGTGACAGTGCCAGGATGATTCGAAACGTGTCGAAAATCAGTGAGGAGCAACGTTTCTGTGAGTTTGAAGAAACATGAGCTGTATTTTGAAGGGGGGTCACCTTTAGTTTTTGTTGAAGGGATTGTTACTATTTTTTACATTAATTAACATTTATGTTTTTATATCTATCGATGGATCAATCGATTGATCTATCGATAAATATAAATATGAGTAAATATGTCTATTTATGAATCAGTATCAATAGTATCGGATGCAAGAGCAGGTTTTGTGTTTTATTTGTTGGTTTTCAGAACCACTTGCCCGGTTTCTGTTGGGCGGTGGGGAACTTGCAAGCACATTGAGACCTCATCAATTCCGCTGGTTGACACTTGCAGTGCCACCAAGGGACCTTAATGACCTTCCTGAAGGATAACTACATGCTGAGTGGCAACGTTGACATGTGGGCCGTGGCCCCTTCCCACTACTATGCGAGAAAGCAGACGATACTTGGTTTCTGGAATTGTCCATGGTTCAGTGTTGGGAGTGTATCCTGATACCTAGATATCTGCAAATTCTCCGCTGAAGAAATCTGGTTGGTGGTTTGGAACATTTTTTATTTTCCCCAATCTATGGGATAATCCTTCCCATTGACTTTCATATTTTTCATGGTTAAAACATGTTAAAACCACCAACCAGAAATATACCCTTGGTTCTTAGTTGGTGATTTAAACCGCTTGCTCTCATTTGGCATCGTCTCAGTGGATTGGAGGATGGTGCGCGACCTCAATGAGTTTGGCATCACCGTAGTTCACTGCAGTGACAAAGCGGAGAATGCCGATCACTTGTGACTGGACTGCATGCGCTTCAGAGGATGTTGAGTTTTGACCAGTTGATGATGAGAGGAATCATGCCTATTGTTGATACAGTACTGATTTCGCTGAAGCTTTCAAACCTCCCAACCTCATGACCGCCATGACCCGGTGGCAAGGATCAAGCATCGCATCGAAAAGGACCTGACGCTGATGGAAAAACTGCAGCTTCCGCCGAGGGAAACGGCCTTCATCCTAATCACCTCCGACAAGGAGCGCCATCGTTTTTGGACGCGGGCTGCTCCGGTCAACGAACCATTCATATGAATTGATATGAGATAAAATGATGTAATATGAGTTTGTTTGTCTGAAAATAGGGTATCCCCAAAGTAGATCAAAGTAGATGGTTGATCAGCATTTGTCCTCTTCAAATTGATTCAAATTGCCATTTTTGGGTACGGTATACCCCATTTTCAGTCAGACCCATATAGATGTGGAAATTCTATGGGTTTCCTGTTTTCCTGTATGGGTAAATGATGATGTATATACTAGAGACTCGTAAGTTTAGAGAGCATGACAAAATAGGGCCCCTAAATTTCAACGTAAAAATAGTTTTTGTTGATAGTTTATGTTGTTTATGTTAATAGTCTTATGTTATTATGTGTCTTTTGTATTTTCTGCTACAGTACTCTTCAACTATTTGCTGCTATTTACTTCTTATTGCATTTGATTCTATCAAAGAAGAACAGAATAATGACATTTCTCACTACAAATCTTAACAAAGAAATCATAACGTTATACGTAAATGGTTTGCAGTGTGTGTGTGTGTAAGATTCTACATGTTAATCTTTACATGATACAAAGGAACGTATTCAAGGTCTATAAAATAGATGATCAAATATGATATACAAGAAACACTGCACTTTCAGAAACGTGGCAAAATGGGGCCCCTATTTCGTTGTTTTCTGCAAGTTGACAGGATATCATCGATGGCCCCGTCCTTTTCTCACATCTTTGCGTTGTTTTCAAACGGGGGTCCAGTTGGAAAGCTATGTCCAGTTGGGGATTGAAGCACCCTCGGCATGGCGCAATGACTTACTTGGTCAAAAAGACGCTTAGGTCCGCGGGAGAATCTTCCATGCCGAACCATTTTGAAAACATCAGGGCGATACATTGTTATTAATTAATGGTTATTAGAAGTGGATATTAATGGTTATTAATGGTTAGGTTATTAATGATGGTTACTAATGGTTGATACCAATTTTAATAACAATTGATATTCCATACCAGTTATATAAAATGTTACATCTAGTTTCCAACTGTCCGCATCCGGCGAATGGAGGACTTCATGGATATCTTGCGGAAGTTGTTCCCATGGCTGATATAGCGAAGTTTCATCGGAAAGCAGAAGTAGGCAGTAGGGGTCTTTTCAAATTGGGGACTTCACAGTTGCCGAAGATTAGCCAACACTGTTCATTTTTGAGGGAAAGCCAATGGTTGTGGAGCACCCCACTGGTAAGAAACCACCTGTAGGTTCTGTTTTTGCATCGCATAATCGAGTCCATGGGCCATGTTGAAGACCCTGCTGGTGAGAGGCATCCCTCCGTTGAGTTCGGGGACGTTGTTTCGTTTTGTTGAAGCAATTCCCATGAAATTGATAGCTACTCATGACATGATGTTGTTGTTTTATCTTTCTTGGCTTCATTTTTGTTATATGTTAAACGTTGTTGATAAGATTTGGCCTTGCCAGCTCCTTCGGTTAGGGACTACTATATCCCTTTCTTGTCTACAGGTTCCAGTATGTTTTCGGGATCAGTTTCCAGTTCTATGCCGTTCTAGCTGCAGGGTTTCATTTGCTGTTCACTAGTTGAGGTTCTTTAATGGCCACAAGACCGTGCTGATCCACGATGCGAAGAAAGGAGAGAAGAAGTCGGAACATGAAGAAAAAGTCACCTTCTTCTCAACAGAGACTTGATCGAGGTTCAGATCCAGACGTGGCGGAAGAAGAACGACGCCAAAGCTACAGTACATGTTGCCCAGAAGATGCCGAAAAGTGTTTCTGCAATGGTATAAATGAGAAATGGTGTTTCTCACAATTTTTTCTGGGTTACCAACTTTTCCATAATGTATATATATATATACATATGTATATATATATATATATTGTATATATATATATTGTACATATATTTATATATGCACACGTATTGGTTGCTATAAGTTTCAAAGAATACTTCTCAAATTGTTCCTGCAGCTTTTCCATTAACATACCACATGAGTGCTGGCTGCGTCGGAAGACCGGGTTTCAATGAGTTTTCAATGGAGAAGGCATTTTCCTAAAATCGGCTAAAGGACAAAGGGGGTCTAGTGATTAAATGGGGAAAGTCATTAATTTGGAATATATATATATATATATATGGTGATCGATCTAAAGGTCCTTGTAAGGAGTTTTAATTGCGAAAGCCGTGCATGTTATGTTGGAAACCCTCGCGAAAGTTTTTTTTTCGAGTTCGCGAAAGTAAAATTTTATTTCGCGAAAGTTTCGCGAAAGTTGGGTATTATAATCATTATATGTAAAGGGCTGCCACCCACTGCCGCCCGGGGTCCGGCAGGAGAAGGGCACCAGAGAATGCGAGTAGCAGTAGCCAAGTTTCCAAAAGTGAGGCTTTGCGAGAGCCAAACACCAAGGCCCCTGGTCTTCGCTTTTCCTTCAGTGCACCCCCTGCTGATGGCCGGGGTCTGTGAATAGGGATATTTTCGCGAAAGTTCCGCGAAAGTTATGCGAAAGAGCGGGCGAAAGTCAAAGTGCATGTTGAAGGGGGTGGGCCAGTAAACTTTGAAAAACAAATTCTGTCCTGAGAAGGGATTCCGTGATGCTAGCTGCATGTTTAAAAGGCTACCAAGAAGTGATCCGTGATTCTCTGGCGTAATTTGGCAGGTGGTGTACGAATCTTCATAAGAGGTGTTGTTGGCCAACATGGGCCCCGCGAAAGATAAACATGGAGTTGGAGAAAGTTTCGCGAAAGTAAAATTTTTATTCGCGAAGGATGGCCGTTCCGGGATAAAGGAATTTTGATCAACAACCATATATATATATATAGCGCCGGACTGGAACTTAGAATGACCTTTTGGAAATCGCCGGGGGTATCCGAAAAGTTGCCGTTTCGACGCGCGGGGCCAAAATCCCACGTTTTTGAACTTTTTTTTCGTTTGGAAAACTTAGAATGAGTAACTGAAATGTTACGAAACACCGCGCCTGTCAGTCAAAACAGGTCTGGGACACGGAACATAGAATGGGTATTCGCGCACAGCTGACACACAGCTGATTTTCAAAAACAATTTGGCCACAATAGCAAAAGTACCCGTCATTCCAAGTTTGGCTCCCAAGTGCTGTTTTTTGTGGAAGGTAGTCCAAAATCCTTCGAAAATGATTTTTTTGAACATCTTCTATCCATTTTTTTTCATTTGTTATTCATTTCCACGCATTTTTCCAGCCGTTTTTCATCCATTCTTCATCCATTCTGCACTAATTTCCAGCCATATTCATCCATTGTCATCTGTTCTTCATCCATGCTTCATCCATAATCTCTATCCACTTCCCATCCATTATTCATTGTTTTCCCACATCAAGTTTAATTCTGTTTAATCCCTGCTCATCCATTCTTATATAATCATTTCACGCATGCTCTATATTTCCATTTCCATCCAGTTTCCATCCATTTTTCATCCTTTTTTCTTTTCTGCATCAATGTTTATCCAATTTCATCCACTGTCATCCATTATTCATCCATATTTCATCCATTTTTTTATCCATTTCCATTCATTTTTCATTTTTCATCATTGGTGTTCATCAATTTTTGCTCTTGTTATGCTTTCCTCCATTTATAATCCAGTAATTTTCCACTTCCACCCAGTTGCATCTGTCCACACTGCCCTGGAACGCTCATTGTTTTACAGGATACCTCAGCGGTTTCCAAATGGTCATTCTATGTTTCGGTCCGGCACAGCAAGACTGTAATGTATTCATTATATTTATAAATAGTTATATTTATATATATATATCCATAATCTCTATCCACTTCCCATTCATTATTCATTGTTTCCCCCCATCAAGTTTAATTCTGTTTAATCCCTGCTCATCAATTCTTATATAATCATTTCACGCATGCTCTATATTTCCATTTCCATCCAGTTTCCATCCATTTTTCATCCTTTTTTCTTTTCAGCATCAATGTTTACCCAATTTCATCCACTGTCATCCATTATTCATCCATATTTCATCCATTTTTTCCATTTCCATTTCCATCCATTTTTCATTTTTCATCATTGGTGTTTATCAATTTTTGCTCTTGTTATGCTTTCCTCCATTTATAATCCAGTAATTTTGACTTCTTCTATTTCTGAATCATTCGTTACAGCGCACTTTCATGTAACAAACCTAGGCGCCCCTTTGAGCTCCATACACCCCTGTGATAATAGTTAGTCAGCGTCTTCAAACATTTTCCAAATTTCAGCCGACATGATACGCTTTTGAGTATATAAAAGTTCAGACCCGCCCCAACCTATTGACCTACTGTCTGCCTACCTATTTATCTATATGTATATGTATATTTATATATATATATGTATGTATGTATTTATTTTTATATTTATATATTTACCTGCAATCACCTGCAGTCATTCTAATAACGAGCACCTTTCATTATTTCGAATCCAATAAAAACAACATCAGTAATAATCAATCTCACTTATCTGTGCGTTCATATATAATAAACTAAACAATAACCAGCAACCAACATGCTACGCGCAGACAGTATGTGGTTTCGAATCTAAATATAATATATATATATATATAAATAGATAAATAGCGTAGGCAGACAGACAGTAGGTCAATAGGTTGGGGAGGGTCTGAACTTAGAATGACTGCAGGTGATTGCAGGCAAATATATAAATATAAAAATAAATACATACATATATATATATATACATAGATAAATAGGTAGGCAGACAGTAGGTCAATAGGTTGGGGAGGGTCTGAACTTAGAATGACTGCAGTTGATTGCAGGTAAATATATAAATATAAAAATAAATACATACATACATATATTTATATACATAGACAAATAGGTAGGCAGACAGTAGGTCAATAGGTTGGGGAGGGTCCGAACTTAAAATGACTGCAGGTGATTGCAGGTAAATATATAAATATAAAGAAAACATACATGCATATATATATATACATATAGATAAATAGGTAGGCAGACAGTAGGTCAATAGGTTGGGGAGGGCCTGAACTTAGAATGACTGCAGGTGATTGCAGGTAAATATATAGATATAAAAATAAATACATACATACATATATATATATACATATAGGTCAATAGGTAGGTAGACAGTAGGTCAATAGGTTGGGGAGGGTCTGAACTTAAAATGACTGCAGATGATTGCAGGTATATATATATATATATAAATCAAAACATAAATACATACATACATAAATATATATAAATACATACATATAGATAAATAGGTAGGCAAACAGTAGGTCAATAGGTTGGGGAGGGTCTGAACTTAGAATGACTGCAGGTGATTGCAGGTGAATATATATATAAATATACAAATAAATACATACAGACTTATATATATATATATACATATATATATATATACATAGATAAATAGGTAGGCAAACAGTAGGTCAATAGGTTGGGGAGGGTCTGAACTTTGAATGGCTGCAGGTGATTGCAGGTAAATATATAAATATAAAAATACCTACATATATATATATACATAGATAAATAGGTAGGCAGGCAGTAGGTCAATAGGTTGGGGAGGGTCTGAACTTAAAATGGCTGCAGGTGATTGCAGGTAAATATAAAAATACATTAATAAATACATATATATATATATACATATAGATAAATAGGTAGGCAGACAGTAGGTCAATAGGTTGGGGAGGGTCTGAACTTAAAATGGCTGCAGGGGATTGCAGGTAAATATATAAATATATAAATAAATACATACATATATATATATATACATAGATAAATAGGTAGGCAGACAGTAGGTCAATAGGTTGGGGAGGGTCTGAACTTGGAATGACTGCAGTTGATTGCAGGTAAATATATAAATATAAAAATAAATACATACATACATATATTTATATACATAGATAAATAGGTAGGCAGACAGTAGGTCAATAGGTTGGGGAGGGTCCGAACTTAAAATGACTGCAGGTGATTGCAGGTAAATATATAAATATAAAGAAAACATACATGCATATATATATATACACATATAGATAAATAGGTAGGCAGACAGTAGGTCAATAGGTTGGGGAGGGCCTGAACTTAGAATGACTGCAGGTGATTGCAGGTAAATATATAAATTAAAAAAAAAATTAATAAATATATATATATATACATAGATAAATAGGTTGGCAGACAGTAGGTCAATAGGTTGGGGAGGATCTGAACTTAAAATGGCTGCAGGTGATTGCAGGTAAATATATATATAAATATAAAAATAAATACGTATGTATATATATATATACATAGATAAATAGGTAGGCAGACAGTAGGTCAATAGGTTGGGGAGGGTCTGAACTTAGAATGACTGCAGGTGATTGCAGGTAAATATATAAATATAAAAATAAATAAATACATAAACATATATATATATATATAAATATACATATACATAGATAAATAGGTAGGCAGACAGTAGGTCAATAGGTTGGGGAGGGTCTGAACTTAGAATGACTGCAGTTGATTGCAGGTAAATATATAAATACAAAAACAAATACATACATACATACATATATATAAATACATAGATAAATAGGTAGGCAGACAGTAGGTCAATAGGTTGGGGAGGGTCTGAACTTAAAATGACTGCAGGTAATTGCAGGTAAATATATAAATCTAAAACTCAATACATGCATATATGTATATACACACATAGATAAATAGGTAGGCAGACAGTAGGTCAATAGGTTGGGGAGGGTCTGAGCTTAAAATGACTGCAGGTGATTGCAGGTAAATATATAGATATAAAAATAAATATATCACCGGGACAGAACAACATGGGAGGAAAACAATGTTTTTCCAGAGTTTTCTGCGTTTTTTTTTTTGTTTTTTTTGATGACTTCTGCCAACTTGTGATTTCAAAGCACGTCCATACGTTGTCAAGGACCTTCAAAAACACTGATTTTTTCCACATGTTTTGATGATTTCTGCCAATTTGGCTAATCAGTGGAATCCAAAGCATTTCCATAAGATGTCCGAAATCTCCCAAAACACTGTGTTTTCCACGTTTTTTTTGGTTTTCAGTCATTCTAACTCGGAGTCATTCTAAGTTGCTACTCGGGGGGGCCTTTTTTCAGTCATTCTAAGTTCGGGGTATCGTCGTTTGGAACCCCGCACATCATTCTAAGTTCCAGTCCGGCGCTATATATTATATTTTTTGTTGATTAATGGCCAAATTCATGATTTTTCCACTTAATCAACATGCCAAGGTTAGAAATCCTTGAATCCCCTGTTTCGAGCCTGTGTGCGAAAACATGCGAAAGCTGGCTAGTGTTCAGATGTGTTTAGTCGGCTGTCGATGGTAGTCTGGCAATGTATGTGTATGTTTTGATGGAGGGGTATCTGCATCACATCCACCCATAGATGACCTAACCAACATGTCTTGTAGGGTGCCCCAGGGTTTGCCATGTCCTCATTGCTTGTGCCTTGAAGGAAAGTTTCGTCTTTAGTGACATCGTGAAATGGGAGCTGGTTCACCACAGAAATGCCTGGCAGAGCTTGATGGCATGGGCGGGGTCCATGGTTCAGCCCGGGGTCCGGATCAAACACCTCAAAGAAAAGGTGGAGGAACCAGGACGAGGCGGGAAGCCCAAAGCCATAGCATTTGAGTCGCAAAAAACCATCCCCCAAACAATGGGAGACATATAATTGGAATTAATTTGCCACATGATGATCATTAAACCACATCAGTGTTTTGTAATCTTTGAGTTTCTGTTTGGGAAATTTTGGGATCCCACAAGATCTCGGCATAGCCCAACATAAACCAAGCCCCTGGGCCTGGTGGGGTGGCCTCAGGACGGGCCAAGTGGCGGTGTACGCTGGAAGTGGAATTTGATCGGCGCAATCGCTTGTTTCTCTCGGAAGGTGAGCCAAGGGTCTTGGGGCTGAAGGTGGATAGGGAGGGTAGATGATCATGGATGCAGAGATGGATAGGATATTTTTTTTATCAAAGCACTTGGGTCAATTATTGCTTGTGCTTTGACGATTTCTGTTGGGCCGATCTAAAATTAAAATGCCTTTGCTCTGCCGAGATCCGTTGCAGTTAACTGCAAGCAAGTCCCAAATAATTGCTGCTTTCCACTCTATTAACATCTATTGTGAACCTATTTATGTTTGTTCCATCCCTATTTCGATTGCATCCCAGTTCGGGGGTGGGTAATGAAAAGGTTATAAGCCGCTATATGCACTGGGGTGCACAACCCCATTGGCCCAGCATAATTTTGGGCTGCGTGTCCAGCCAGCAGCTAACAGCCCCCGCAGGCGTGCACCAAGACAACTACAAGTCTGGCGAAGAAGCCGCCAAGAACGCCATCAAACGCCTGCGCGACCCTTGGAGTCAGCTGGGGTGTAACGGAAAACCCAGCGTGTGAAGTGTTTTTGTTCTGTTGCATTCCCGGTGTAACCTACGGTGTTCGAACGTGGTAATGGAGAATCATGGAACATTTGCATATTTAATCCTATAAAAATGTTTGTGACAGGATTAGTGCATTTTGTTGGGGACACTGTTTGCAATTACATGCGATATTTAGACATGTATATATATATATATCATATATCATACATCATATATCATATATATATATTATTTATATATTATATTTTTATATTATATTAATATATATTATAATTATATATATATTTAGATATGTATGTTTGTTTGTATGTATGCATACATTTGGGGTATCCACGGTCTCTGGGTTCAATATATCGGTTCCCAATAGTTGTTTGTTATAATGTGCATGTAATTATGCATTCATTGTCCCACACACATGCCACATATTCTTACATATATGATGTTCTTCTTGTGAGAATATCTGGCTGGTGACTTCACATGTTTTCTTTCTACAGCGCAGAATTCACCAGTGATCTGCAAGGATCTTTTCGGGCCTCACGCAGAGGAAGAACTCATTGAAAAACAGCAGCTGGAGTCCATGCTGAAGCGATGAAGCTGAGAAACGCTGGAATAGAATGGGTATGTTCTGTAGGAATGCCTTAAAAATATGAAACCCATTGTGGTAAGTGTGCACATAGATCCCTGGATCAATTCTGACTGGATCTATACCCATCTACCTGCTGGACAGATCCTGTGTAGCTGCCTGCGCGGCAGCTCTTTCTGGCGGGCCCCCAGGTGCAAAGTGCGGGGCCCCCGGGGCCCCGCGAATTTTAGACATTGGATGGATACCTCCGCTTTCAGCAGATCCATATTGGGCCGGCCCCAGGATGCCCCAGGTATAGTCAAGATGAGAGTTACAAGTTCACAAAAAAACACAGTTCCTGGCGCATGGCCTGGTGGGTGGAAGTGTGGGTAGGCCCAAGGCCCCCATTCACAGTCAGACCGCTGCCATGGCTCCTAAGGAGCTTGGCTCTTAGATCTCATTTGGCACAGGGCCAAATTTTATTATTCTCACAGTGGAGTGAGGTGGACGGAACATGTGAGGATGGGAGTCGAAGAATGCGGGAACATGTTCGTATGATTTTTGAGATGTGTCATCATGGTAAGCACTCCCCCTAAATGTGTAGATGAAGTTTCTAACATCTTCTCGGTGCATTTCTTTGGACCCCCCAGGATACTGCACCAGAATTTTGATCCGAAGTCGAATTTGGTTGTTCCTTTGTATCTTTAGTTTTGCGTTGGACAGCGATCACCCAGGTGAGTCCATAGTGCAAAGCAAGTTTACAAGAACCGATTATAGATTTGATTGAAATCATGAGTTTGACAGGTTGGAGGTTTGATTGATGTTTTATTGGCTGGGCTTTTGGCAGAGGCACTGACAGATTGGAGTTTCTATGGGGGAGTGTCAACATTTTTGTTCAATGGGATCACACTCTGTCAACTCACTCCAGTGCTACCCTCTGGTAAATCAACAATTATTACTTTTTATAAGTAAATCACCTACACACACGTATATATATATATATGTGTGTGTGTGTGCCATGTTCAATAGCTATGTTAAATTACCAGAGGGTAAGTAGTCATGAGTCATGGGCAGGTTTGTACAGCTGTACAGAAGTCAGTGACAGTTGGCACACTGAGTGGCACTCGTAGTCAGATGGAAACAGATGGCATGGAGTTTGGATATCCTTTCCCCGGAGGTTGGTTGATTCAGGGGTTAGGGGTTCCCCCCCATACAACAATTGGTAGGTAAATGCTAGCAAATGGATACACATGGTATATCAAACTCATGTATTTTTACAAAAGGAATCAACAGGACACTATTGGTTTTGATGAGATTGTTGATGACCAGTGCACCAGGGTTTTTGATCCGCAACCCAACGTTTTGAAGACAACTTTGAAAGGTTTGGTTGATCCCCAATTGGTAGGTGCATTGTTGGGCTTACTTTCCATGTTTGTGCTTCCCGTCATCGGATTGACACCATGCTGGTGTTGGAGATTCCGCATAAATGGAAAATGCTGGAAGAGAGCAGGCATATCATCCGGAAACCCGCAGTACTCACTGGGCAACTTAAGTTTCCAAACTAACCAACCAAATTTCTGGTTGCTTCAGTGCCCAAATATCTGTGAGTTTTTGTGGGTCATATATGGTCAAATGTCAAATCCTCATTTTTCGTAACTTCATCCTCCTATTTCTAGATCCCTTTTGAAACCCTGGTTTGTCTTGGGGCTGGTCATTCTTGGGTCCCATTGCGGACATTTAATATGACCGGGGGATAAGATTACTTCAACTATCTTGAAACTTTATTGTCCACCGTGATTTTTGGGTTAACCCCGCACATACTCCCCAGTTACTCCCCAGTTTGGTTCCGTGAAAAGGAGTAATCCCATTATATAAATCACTATTAAATCACCATTAAATCATCAGTAAATCCCCATGAAATCAACATTACATACCTTTTCTCCATGCCTTTTTTCGGGACATGGTGCCGTTGATGCCGCAGCAAGGTGCTCTACCAAGGCTACTGGCCCGAGTCGTTGATCGCCATGCCCGGCCGGGAGGCGAGGAGTTCATTGGGGATAATAGGAATTTACCAAGATATAATACGAATGGAGGTAAAACAATGTCATAAACCACCCATTTGGGAATGGTAAACATACCATCTATAAAAATTGTGATTTTTAAAACATGTTTTACCCACATTAATGGTATCTAATGGTGATTCAATTGCTATTTATAGGAAGATATTATCCCCAAACGGGGTAATTTTATAGATTTTTTTATGGTTATTTAATGGACATGCCATTGGTGATTTAATTCCCATTGGGGAACGATAATTATATATAGATAATGATAATGGGAATACAATGGCCGGGGATATTGTGTCACAATATAATTACCATTTAATGAGAATTTAATGGTGGTTTAATGGAAATATTGTGGGACTATTGATATATGGGATATCTAATACTAGTGGTTAATAAGTGTTAATAATGGTACATACTGGTTAATGTTAATTCATACTGGTTATTTAATACTGGTTAGTACTTACTGGTTGATAATGGTTGAGAATGGTTGATAATGGTTGATAATGGTTGATAATGGTTGATAATGGGATAATAATGATGATGACATGATATGACATGATGAGATAGTAATTATTTGATCATGGTTTAATGTGGTAATTCGGGCGGCCAAGCCACAAAAAACACACCAGACTAGCGTGGGTCAAGCCGCGCCCTGGCGCCCAGGCTTTGCAGGAGTTGAAGGAGATGAAATCCATGGGTTTCAACCTGCTGCGCCTCCATGCTGCTGTCGGCTGATGATCGTTATGGCATGGAAATTGGTGTTGGTAAAGCAATGGAAAACAAACCTTCCATGCTTTGATGGTTCATAGGGCCCATAAAAATGGTAAGTCATGGGAAATAGTTTATTATTGCTTTAGCCACGTTAACTTAAGTGGCATTTTCCCACCACGGAAAAGCTCTAGAGGATGCCTCCAGTAATCTAAGGTAACACCCCTGAGTCAGGGGGATCATCAGACCTACAGAAAAGACCGAGCGAAAAGTTCACCATGCCATGAGTTAAGAGTTGGCAAGTGGGATGTATTTTAGTATATTTTAGTAATTATAGCCATGAGTCCAATACCAAGTACATTCGGATCCAAATATGTGTGTTTGTGTGATTGTGTGATTGTGTATGTACACAACCATCATCATCACCACCATCATCATCGTCGTCGTCGTCGTCGCCGTCGTCATCGTCATCGTCATCGTCATTATCATCACCATCATCATCATCATCACCATCATCATCATCACCATCATCATCATCATCATCATCTATCTAGATAATTCTAGATATTCATTATATATATATATATCCGTGTGTGTGTGCACGTTAACATCCCGACTATTTGTAGGGGGCTTAGCCAGCTATGATTTCGCGGTTAGCCAGTTGCCTCGATCAGTGCCACGGCCGTGTTTTCCTGAGGTGATGCCAGCCGCTTTCTACCACTTCTGCGACGTGCAGGTCATAGAAAGTGGCGGATTGACGGGGATGGGGTGCCCGCGAGTTTAATATTTGTTGCCCATAATGAAGCCAGTGAACTATAGAATGCTATAGGTAGATCTACTATAAACTTGTAGCTAGAAAAAACTATGTGTATTGGCGGATGTGCCCATACATGTTTGTTTGTTTTTTATTCCCATTTAAACATAGATTTTTGACATATATGCACATATTTCATGTCATGTCATGATATGATATTATATGATATGATATGACATATTTACAATAAATTGAATAGGTGAACTACTTGTTTTGTGAAGGGGGCAGTCAAAACTTCTCATTTTAACCAGCTCAGCTAACGGACTGGGGCACGGACCACCTAGCCAAACATCTTATCCAATGAGTTGCTAGTGTTTGTGGCTGTGTTCCAGGGCCCAAATCTCATACCCTAGAATTGTCCACAGGTTGTGCTAAAATTCTAGTTCCACAGAACAACAAAGTTCCTTTATAACTCCTTCTATAGATATGATATATGCACCATACGTCAAGGATAAATCCTAGTTAGCCTGGTTATAAGCCAACTTACCCAAGGGGTCCCCTTCCTACGGAAAGCGCCGCAGGGTTTGCTGGTCTGGCAAGACTTCCCTGCGGGCGACGGTCGCGCGCTGCCTTTGTGGGACGCTGCTCGGGGCGTGGTGGAACAGATTTTCGTCGACGAAGCGGGAGGATTGGGAAGAATCCTTTCCCCATGGTGAATATACAATGGTTAACCATAGATATTGGAGGATGAGGATGATCTGATATGAATGATTAATAATTGCTTAATAAATGGTGAATACATGTTAATGTTAAGGATCCACCTGATATGAACGGGTAATAAATGTTAATAATGTGGCGAACGGAATGCCATTAACTTCCAATTATTGATGAAAATAAAAACAATATATGCAGATGGGATGATGATGCATCTCTCTCTCTATATATATCTAATGAAATGCAATCAGGTATACAACCAGCCGTGATGGGGGGAGAGCGAGAGAGAGAGAGAGATATACATATATATATATATATACAATTATATACACATAAAAATCATACATATCTGTACGAGCAGGACATGCTGTTATGTGAAGATAACGGGAAGCCCACTTCCTAAATATTAATATAGGTGTTTCTTTCAACCAAAAAATTGGTTTAACATTGTTTAACCAGCTTGAAATGGGAGCATATGGGAATACACAATATGAAAACCACATTGTTGGGAACAGTATCGGGTCTATTTCGTTTATTCATTTCGACATATATGGGGAGGCATGTAACATTGGAGGGAACTTGATTACACTCAAAACCGAAATCTTAATGGGGAACACGATCAAAAAGCACTTGATGTTTGAAGCACCCCAATTTGTATAAACGCAGAACATCATATACTCTTTCTCTCTCTCTCTCTCTATATATATATTCAGATTTAGATCTCTATAAATAGTGGGTTTCTTTAATGCCAGCATAGAGTGCCATCGTTGTCCCTCAGGAAAGGTGGCCTGGCGAGCCCCTTGGACTTGGATGAGATCAGCAGAACCCAGGAGTCTGAAGTCAACTTCTGGCAGGCCCGGGTTGGCTGGCGTGAGTGGCACGGGGGGGCGTCCAAGTGTTTGCTGTGTGTTTGCTGTGTGTTTGCTATATCTGTGTTTGCAGAACATATAAGAAACACACATACACAGACATGTATATATATATATACACATATCTATTCTACAGCATATGCAGCAGTTGTTAACTTATGAAGACTCAAATTCAGCACAATGATACACTAGGATTTGTTGTTTTTGGGTTAAATCCATGGGAAACCCTGCAGGATTTTTGGTGCACCCGTGGGGCACCTCGCCCAGGAACTTCAGGCGGTGATTTCCTGGCTACGGCCCTTTGCCTCGATTGTATGCTCCTTGGTGGCCTCGGCCAGATGGGCCTGTTGCGATGGCACTTCACCAGCCATGTTGGCGGAGGCAGTCATTGCCCTTCTTTGCCCCTGATTTCATATGACTGAAAAAGTTCGATCAGACACCAAGGCTGGGTTCCCTTCAATGAGGGCTGGGGCCAGTTCCAGTCCATGCAAGTGGTGCAGTGGCTGCGACAATTTGGTGGTGATCGCCACTCAGCCGACAATCGGGGTGGAGCATAGTCGCGGAAAGTTGTAGTACGACTTGTCCAAAAACATCCAAAAACCACCACCTTAGCCAATCGACCAAAACGGTTTTATACGATCCAGGGTCCAGGAATGCAACTCCCAAGTTTGATTGCAAGATTCTATGGAAGCTTGCTGCAAGCTATTCACGCCCCATAGTATCATACAGTAGGTGGTTAAAGGCGTGCCTGTTGCACAAAAATCCTTTAATTATTATCTTTATTATGCTGCAGGAACGATTTCCCAAAAGGCGTGCCTAGCCGGAGTTACTTGGGGAGAAAGAATCAGTAGCCAAGATATCAGTATGTTTTAGCTAATTACTGGTCACTTTTGCTGGCAAATCCATGGTGTTTTAGGTTTCGCTGCTTTTGGTTGGAAACATATACCTGGGGAAACAAGAGTTTGTTTATGCGGAGTTTCATTGTGGGAATTGTTTCATAACTGTGATTTTGCGATGTGGTTTTGTTATCTTGAGTTTTCTTAGGAGACCGGGCAAAGGCCAAACAAACAAAACGGTTGGTATTATTATAGCCCATCCCATCTGGGGATGCACATGCATGGATGTTTGGAGCATCCTTTTACAGGACATTTTGATGGAACATGTGGCCAAAATATGTTGCTGCGCCAAGATATTGCGCCTGCCACTCATTGATGTACTGCGCCTGCCACGTGACTTGTCTTAAGTCCTTAAGATGTTGCGCCTGCCACTCATTGATGCTTTGCGCCTGCCTATCTATATCATAGAAAATCATAGAAAATCATAGAAAATCATAGAAAATCAGTACAATCAATATCATAGATCATAATTATAATCAAGTGGACTCTCAGTAGATTTCCATGATATGTAGGGAAGGGCATACCAAAAAATACATCACCACGTCATCAATCACTACTTGGGGGGTCGCTAAAGGGGGAAGGAAGGGTCTGGGTGAGAAACCCTTAAGAAAACCCAATGAGAATCTAGGATTTACATCATCGAAATAGTGATTCAGCGATGCCTGTTCGACACAGTTTCGGAGCTGAACGTTCGGCTCCGTAACTCGACTAGCCAGGCTGAGGTTGTTGAGAAAAAATCACCTGTGCAGGTCCCTCCCAACTTGTTTGGAACTAGAAGTGAGGAAGCTGATCATCACCAATTCGGAGCTGAACGTTCGGCTCTGAATTAGTGACTTGCAGTGTGCGTTGAAACCTTGTTTGGAGTTTTCAGGGTGTGCAGTTTGGTCTGACCCAGGCTCTCCAACATTCCTACCTTCCCCTTTAGCGACCCCCCAAGTAGTGATTGATGACGTGGTGATGTATTTTTTGGTATGCCCTTCCCCCCATACTTACATATCATGGAAATCTACTGATAGTCCACTTGATTATAATTATGATCTATGATATTGATTGTACTGATTTTCTATGATTTTCTATGATTTTCTATGATATAGATAGGCAGGCGCAAAGCATCAATGAGTGGCAGGCGCAACATCTTAAGGACTTAAGACAAGTCACGTGGCAGGCGCAGTACATCAATGAGTGGCAGGCGCAATATCTTGGCGCAGCAACATATTTTGGCCACATGTTCCATCAAAATGTCCTGCAAAAGGATGCTCCAAACATCCATGCATGTGCATCCCCAGATGGGATGGGCTATAATAATACCAACCGTTTTGTTTGTTTGGCCTTTGCCCGGTCTCCTAAGAAAACTCAAGTTATGGTTAGATGTTTTTTTCTTGAAATCCTACTAGATTGGTTAGCTCTTCTATTCAGCGCGTTGTTGGGTTGGAGGCCTTTGGAACAAGGGATTCCATTCGCTTATTGTATCACCAAGATTCATGAGATTGGGTTGAGGGTAAGCTTGCATGAATCCAGTTGCCTGGGCATGTTGCATCAGGACGCCGCCAAAGGAGATGGTACCTGCTGTTTTTTTTTGGTTTATAGTTCCCCAAACAGTATGTCCACACTGAGGGGTTCTTATGGTAGGAGTTAAAGCCGGTGTTTGATCGAGGTGCGCACTCTGGGTTCCCACGTTTTTCTCCTGTAAATTCTCGTATAAAATGGCTCTAAAATTGCTCTTGTAGGGGCCCCAGAAGTTTCATTTTGTTTGAAAACTAAGGTACCGCAAAAATGTGATGTTGGATTAATTGTCATTTTCCTTATCAAAATTGTAACTTTTGGGGCAAACAAATCACCGGTTTTCAGAGAAATCACAGGATGATCATAACTTGAGGGTGTGGACCTGGGACATGGGACAGGTTGGATCAACATGGCCAGCGGCTGGAACGACGTGGCGGATTTGTTTCCAGGGATGGATGGAGGAGACGTGGTGGACGCGCATAACTACGAGCAGCAGCCGCGGCTTGGGATCAAGTGGGATGGAGATGGTTAGACTGGGTGAATCTGACTGTCTAATCCTACCTTTTGGGGTCACATCCAATGTGGGTGGTGTGTTGCTGATGTTTCCCATTTTCTTGGTCGAATTGCTGTACCTGCTTATAGTAGTGACCATGTTTGCTATGAGGAGGTCGCTGGGTGAGTTATCATCCTTCAAAGTCGTCCCTAAGACCAAGACTGGAGCATGTTGGAGCTGGGAAATCTTCAAGCTTTGCTAGGACCAGAAATTCTGATTGAAGAGGGAAAAGATCCAACACCGGGTCATGAAGTGGAACAGAAGTGGAAAGGAGTCCCAAAAGAGCTGGATCTCAGACCAAGCGGACCCAAGGGCTGCCGTAGCATAGGCCTACTTCCCTTGCCTTGCGAGGTATGATGGCCTGCGGCTTGGCAGCAAAGATTGAAGCTGATGGTCATTAACATTCAACAACCGCAACTTTTATATCATTATTATACTTTTGTTTTCCTTAGATGATCCTAGATATTCTTCATCAGATGGCAATTTTCTGACCTCAGTCGCCCCCGCCAAGGCCAGTTGCTACTTAGATGTGTATCCCATTTATAAGTTATATAAGTTATATAAGTTATATATATATAATCTATCTATCTATCTATCGATCTATCTATCTATCTATCTATCTAATCTAATCCAATCCAATCTAATCTAGTCTAATCTATCTAATCTAATCTAATCTAATCTAATCTAATTAATCTATCTAATCTAATTAATCTATCTAATCTAATAGATCTATCCAATCTAATTAATCTATCTAATCTAATTAATCTATCTAATCGAATTAATCTATTTGTCTATCTATCTATCTATCGATCTATCTATTGAAAGAACTACACGCATGGAAGGTTGGTTGGTTGAATAGACCTTAATGGGGGCTCAGAAGGGTTATCACCATGTCAGTGACCAGTGCGCCGAGAAGCCTCCTGAGGAAGGTCAAAAAGTGTGCGCGCGTATTTTTGTCTACATATAGCATGTACACATACGACAAAATATGCAATAAGACTCTGTATGATATAAAATGAAATGCATATATACATATGCATATCCATAATGTGTGTATATATGAGTATATATATATATATATGCATCTTTATATTATATTATATATATATGTGATTATATATATATGTGTGTGTGAATGTGTATATGTAATATATTAATACATATATTTATACATGTCTGTGTGTAGCAGAGGGAAACACCACTGGCTTATGATTCCCAGGCGCAGCACCTTCCAGCTATGGCCTTTGCCCCTGGCCGGCCGTGCGCTGGTCCTGGGCGAATACGGTGGTTTGGGCTTCCCCATGGAGGCAGCTCCAGGGTGGTACATCCAACAATGGCTAGTTACTACCCCGAAAATGGTTAGTTACTACCCCAAAAGTGGTAGTTATAGTAATTAGTATGTAATAGTATATTGAATAAACCCCATAAGCTATGCCCAATAGAGGTTTATAATGGTAATGGTTGGTTAATTTGGGATGGTTTATTTTTGGGCTTACCACAATATACAGTATGGGAAACTACTGGTAGTATAATCTTGGCCTTGGACCTGTTTTTTTTTGCATGGCTTAGCCACTACCCCCAAGAATCGTGGATCGAATGGTAGATTTGGATAGACACAAAGTGTCTTACCACATTTAGAAAGCTTGTGGTCAACCACAACTCTATCGCTATAGCTCCATGGGAGGCTTGAAAGTGTGTAGAACATGGGTTTGCCTGAATTTTTAGGCAATAACAACAAAATCCAATGGTTCAAAACATCTGATTTGCACATTTCAAATTGCAATTTTGAGGGGTTAAATCCCCCATTTGCAGCCGCAACTTAAAATGGAGGTTTCCTAAGTTATGGGGGGACCACCAGTTCTCATCCATTTTATTAATAGGATTTTCATGGATTTTCCATTGTAAACCATCCAGCTATTGGGGCACCCGTGGTAGGAAACCTCCAGGGGTGCCCTGCCAGGGCCATGAGTGGTCGCCCGCGACTTCCTGGGCTTATGGGAAGTTTGGCGAAATGAGGAGAAAAGCAACGAAAAATGGTGAGATAAAGTGGACATTATGGTTGTATAATGGGAATAGAGTGGGTATATAATCATTAAGTAAAGTGAATACTATGGGGTATTATGGTATATATTGGTGTATCTATCTAAACATTGTTAATTGATGGTGTTTAATGTTGTTGTTTTTTTTAACTATGCTAGTAATAACAGTTTTATCATGTTGTTCTGTATTTGTACCGCTATCGGTAATGGCCATTATTTGTATCATAGCTACATTAATATTCTAATAGGCCAGTCCCCGATCGCATTCCCAGAACCTTACAATCCCCCCTACCTAACTGCCTGGAATCTTGGGGGGGGGTACGTCCGGAAATTCCACTGAAACATTCCACCGGAAAATGATGATTTCACAATATTTCACAATATTCACTACTGCAGGGTACGAAGCTTGAAAACATTTGAAAACAATATATATATATATATCTCCGTATATCCCCGTTCGAATTTCAACTACAGAATGGGAGGCCTTGTGCCCCGTTTCAAGGGCATTTCCGGGCTTAGAATAAGATGAACAAATGGGGATGGGCCAGGCATTTTGTACCCACAGCTTGGGAATTGCATTTTATAAGTTTTCAACGTTTCGGTAGTTGAAAGACCTTTAAAAATCGATAGTCATTTTGTAGCAAGAGAATATGCCCATCGGAAGACAGCATGTAAAAACATCCTCCTTCAAATTTCAGCTACGAAATGGGGAGGACTTGGGCTACAGTACAGATTGCCAGCCAGGATTTTTTTGTACAAACAGGAGGGGTTGGGCCTCTTTTTGTATTTGCATTCATTTTGTAGTTGATGTATGTTGAGGAAGTTGAAACATTCATAAAATGTAATTAACATTCATAAGAGATGTTCCTTTGCCATGTTTGATTACAAGAGGGTATCCTGTGCACGGGCTAGAAAGGAAATAGAAAGGAAAAAAGGAAAGGAAACAGGAAAAGGAAGATAACAAAGAAAAAGGGAAAGTAAAGAAGAGTGGCCCCGGTGCCGGGCTAGAAAGGAAATAGAAAGGAAATAGAAAGGAAAAAAGGAACAGGAACAGGAAAAGGAACATCAGAAAGAAAAAGCCTATTAGACCCGGCGCCGGGCTAGAAAGGAAATAGAAAGGAAATAGAAAGGGAATAGAAAGGAAAAGGAAACAGGAAAAGGAAAAGGAACAGGAGGAGGAAGAAAACAAAGAAAAAGGGAAAACTAAAGCATATTAGCGCTGGACCCGGCGCCGGGGTAGAAAGGAAATAGAAAGGACATAGAAAGGAAAAAAGAAAGGACACAGGAAAAGGAAAAGGAACAGGAAAAGGAAGAAAACAAAGAAAAAGGGAAAGTGACCTGGCGCCAGCTAGAAAGGAAATAGAAAGGAAATAGAAAGGAAATACAAAGGAAAAAAGAGACAGGAAAAGGAAAAGGAACAGGAGAAGGAAGAAAACAAAGAAAAAGGAAGAGGAAAGCAGATTAGCCCCGGCGCCGGGCTAGAAAGGAAATAGAAAGGAAATAGAAAGGAAATAGAAAGGAAATAGAAAGGAAAAAAGGAACAGGAAAAGGAACATCAGAAAGAAAAAAGAAATTAGACCTGGCGCCGGGCTAGAAAGGAAATAGAAAGGGAATAGAAGGGAAAAAAGGAAAGGAAACAGGAAAAGGAAAAGGAACAGGAGAAGGAAGAAAACAAAGAAAAAGGGAAAACTAAAGCATATTAGCGCGGGACCCGGCGCCGGGCTAGAAAGGAAATAGAAAGGAAATAAAAAGGAAAAAAGAAAGGAAGCAGGAAAAGGAAAAGGAACAGGAGAAGGAATAAAACAAAGGAAAAGGGAAAGTGACCTGGCGCCAGCTAGAAAGGAAATAGAAATGAAATAGAAAGGAAATGGAAAGGAAAAAAGAGACAGGAAAAGGAAAAGGAACAGGAGAAGGAAGAAAACAAAGAAAAAGGGAAAGGAAAGCAGATTAAGGAAAAAGAAAGGGAATAGAAAGGAAATAGAAAGGAAAAAAGGAAAGGAAACAGGAAAAGGAAAAGGAACAGGAGGAGGAAGAAAACAAAGAAAAAGGGAAAACTAAAGCATATTAGCGCTGGACCCGGCGCCGGGGTAGAAAGGAAATAGAAAGGACATAGAAAGGAAAAAAGGAAAGGAAACAGGAAAAGGAAGAAAACAAAGAAAAAGGGAAAGTAAAGCAGAGTAGCCCCGGCGCGGAGCTAGAAAGGAAATAGAAAGGAAATAGAAAGGAAATAGAAAGGAAATAGAAAGGAAAAAGGAACAGGAAAAGGAACATCAGAAAGAAAAAGGAAATTAGACCCGGCGCCGGGCTAGAAAGGAAATAGAAAGGGAATAGAAAGGAAAAAGGGAAAGGAAACAGGAAAAGGAAAAGGAACAGGAGAAGGAAGAAAACAAAGAAAAAGGGAAAACTAAAGCATATTAGCGCTAGACCCGGCGCCGGGCTAGAAAGGAAATAGAAAGGACATAGAAAGGAAAAAAGAAAGGACACAGGAAAAGGAAAAGGAACAGGAAAAGGAAGAAAACAAAGAAAAAGGGAAAGTGACCTGGCGCCAGCTAGAAAGGAAATAGAAAGGAAATAGAAAGGAAATACAAAGGAAAAAAGAGAGGAAAAGGAAAAGGAACCGGAGAAGGAAGAAAACAAAGAAAAAGGGAAAGGAAAGCAGATTAAGGAAATAGAAAGGAAATAGAAAGGAAATAGACAGGAAATAGAAGGAAAAAAGAGACAGGAAAAGGAAAAGGAACAGGAGAAGGAGGAAAACAAAGAAAAAGGGAAAGGAAAGCAGATTAAGGAAATACAAAGGAAATAGAAAGGAAATAGAAAGGAAATAGAAAGGAAAAAAGAGACAGGAAAAGGAAAAGGAACAGGAGAAGGAAGAAAGCAAAAAAAAGGGAAAGGAAAGCAGATTAGCCCCGGCGCCGGGCCCAGCGCCGGGCTAGAAAGGAAATAGAAAGGAAATAGAAAGGAAAGGAAACAGGAAAAGGAAGAAAACGAAGAAAAAGGGAAAGTAAAGCAGAGTAGCCCCGGCGCCGGGCTAGAAAGGCAATAGAAAGGAGATAGAAAGGAAAAAAGGAACAGGAAAAGGAACATCAGAAAGAAACAGCCTATTAGACCCGACGCCGGGCTAGAAAGGAAATAGAAAGGAAATAAAAAGGGAATAGAAAGGAAAAAAGGAAAGGAAACAGGAAAAGGAAAAGGAACAGGAGGAGGAAGACAACAAAGAAAAAGGGAAAACTAAAGCATATTAGCGCTGGACCCGGCGCCGGGCTAGAAAGGAAATAGAAAGGAATTAGAAAGGAACAAAAAAAGGAAACAGGAAAAGGAAAAGGAACAGCAGAAGGAAGAAAGCAAAGAAAAAGGGAAAGGAAAGCAGATTAGCCCCGGCGCCGGGCCCGGCGCCGGGCTAGAAAGGAAATAGAAAGGAAATAGAAGGGAAATAGAAAGGAAATAGAAAGGAAATAGAAAGGAAATAGAAAGGAAAGGAAACAGGAAAAGGAAGAAAACGAAGAAAAAGGGAAAGTAAAGCAGAGTAGCCCCGGCGCCGGGCTAGAAAGGAAATAGAAAGGAAATAGAAAGGAAAAAAGGAAAGGAAAAGGAACAGGAAAAGGAACATGAGAAAGAAAAAGGAAATTAGACCCGGCGCCGGGCTAGAAAGGAAATAGAAAGGAAATAGAAATGACATAGAAAGGAAAAAAGGAACAGGAAAAGGAAAAGGAACAGGAGAAGGAAGAAAACAAAGAAAAAGGGAAAGGAAAGCATATTAGCCCCGGCGCTGGGCTAGAAAGGAAATAGAAAGGAAATAGATAATAGAAAGGAAAAAAGGAACATGAAAAGGAACAGGAAAAGGAACATGAGAAAGAAAAAGGAAATTAGACCTGGCGCTGGGCTAGAAAGGAAATAGAAAGGAAATAGAAAGGAAATAGAAAGGAAAAAAGAAAAGGAAAAGGAACAGGAAAAGGAACATGAGAAAGAAACATGAAATTAGACCCGGCGCCGGCCTAGAAAGGAAATAGAAAGGAAATAGAAAGGAAATAGAAAGGAAAAAAAGAGACAGGAAAAGGAAAAGGAACAGGAGAAGGAAGAAAACAAAGAAAAAGGGAAAGGAAAGCAGATTAGCCCCGGCGCCGGGCTAGAAAGGAAATAGAAAGGAAATAGAAAGGAAATAGAAAGGAAAAAAAGAGACAGGAAAAGGAACAGGAGAAGGAAGAAAACAAAGAAAAAGGGAAAGGAAAGCACATTAGCCCCGGCGTAGAAAGGAAATAGAAAGGAAATAGAAAGGAAATAGGAAGGAAAAAAGGAACATGAAAAGGAAAAGGAACAGGAGAAGGAAGAAAACAAAGAAAAAGGGAAAGGAAAGCATATGAAAGCATATTAGCCCCGGCGCCGGGCCCGGCGCGGGGCTAGAAAGGAAATAGAAGGGAAAAAAGGAAAGGAAACAGGAAAAGGAAAAGGAGCAGGAGAAGGAAGAAAACAAAGAAAAAGGAAAAGGAAAGCAGATTAGCCCCGGCGCCGGGCCCGGCGCCGGGCTAGAAAGGAAATAGAAAGTAGAAAGGAAATAGAAAGGAAATAGAAAGGAAATAGAAAGGGAAAGAGGAACAGGAAAAAGGAAAAGGAACAGGAGGAAGAAAACAAAGAAAAAGGAAAAGTATGGAAAAGTAAAGCAGAGGAAAAGAAACAAAGAAAAACCAGGGATAACCACGGCAAACTCCTCAGCAGCCGAATCACTCGAAGATGTTCTGGTGACACGACCGATGGTCTTGGTGAAAGATGTGAGAAACTGCATCTTGGAAGACAATCTCTTGGGTTTTGCAGGGAGTTTTCAAGCGAAAATTAACTTTAAATACTTGATAGATACAAAAAGATACAATGTGATACACTCAACCTGAGAAGGGGGGGGGTGATAGCTCTGAAAAAGGGACTGCTTCAGCTATTTTTTCAGCCACTTGCGCTTAAGTGCGAAGCACA